CTGCAAGAAGAATTGGCTGTGGCAGTCTGCAAGGCTGGTATGTGGCAAGGCTTGCAGGTTTCTTTCTCCACCGCTTCCAGGAAGCCTTGGATCTTGTACACTGGCCAGTCCAGGCTGCTCCAAATCCTTTCTCCCCTGGAGATTGGGAAGATTTGTGGAGGAGGTTGTCTGCTGTGATAAGAGTGGAGTTTCTGGAGAATTTTCAGGGCCTCTTGCCGTTCTTCTGTAGTTCTTAACATTGGAGGTAGGGTAGAGCTTTCACTTGGTATCTGGCAGTCATGCAGAGGACAAGATTATTGACCGAGTTCTCCTGCGTGCAGCTTAAATAAACTGTGATATCCCGATGGCAGGAGCTGTTTTGTGTCCAAACATATAGTAAAGCTAGACCCAGTGGAGCCTTTGGGCTAACTGGGATTTTGTAAGTCCAACTGCAGTGCTTATCTTGCAGTAACGAGAAGGTGTTTTCAGCACTGTGTTCAGGAAAGGCTTATGGCTTGTTTTATTTGTATGTACCAGTGTAAAAGAGGAAAAGCCTGAAAACATATTTTGATTGCATTCTTCTGTAAACCCTGTTATTGTTTTCTTTTTCTAATTTCTTGCCTCGCATCATAGATGGTGATTCCTCAGGTCACTGTACCCCTTGAGGCAGGTTGCAGATTGTATTAATTAGAAGGCACTGTATTAACAGTTAGAAGGCAATTCTCATTTCCAGTCTATTTGTAACCTCTGAGATATTCTGTAAGATTTATAATACAAGCTATGAAAATTAGCTGGGAAATGCATAATTAAATACGTAGGTTCGAAGTAAACTTTGAACACTGCTGTGCCTCAGGGGATTGTGTGGTAAAGTCTAGTTTCCTCCCTGCTTCCATCAACAAAAGTGATTGGTTGGGTTTTTTTTGCCTTTAGTCTGAGGGTTTATAGAGAATGATTTTTTAAATTTTTTTTTCTTCTTCATCCCCCAAACATGGCAGTAATAGTGTTGTCTCAAAGTCCTAGGGAACATAACTTTATATTACGTTGCCAGAAGATGAAAGACATAGTCGAGTTTGGGGCTCGTAATAGGTGCTGTTAACCTCAAGTGAGATGACACACATTTAATATCTGATTGTTATTTGTATTTCTTTTCTAGAGAGTGTAAGCTGTGACCAAAATAGACCCTGAGGGGCTATATTAAAACATTTGGGGTTTTTTTATACTGATAATCAGAATAACTGATATATACAAATGGTGTTTAGATTAGAGTTCAAGTGGAGTTATATTAGGGATGAGACTGATCCATATTAAGGAAAATAAAATTAAATACAGCAATCATTTGTAGCTCATTAGTAGCAGGCAATTGGTACAGTGAAGAAGGACTGTCTCACTGATTCCATTTCAAATTACAGAACAGATGAGGAAGAGCCAAGTATACTCAATGGATGTGGAAACTGATGAGAATTTTAAGATTTAAAGCTCAGTTTTTAATGATTTTGTAAAAGATAACACTTTTTAAAAAGAAATGTTCCTTAGTTTACATCCAGGAATTCCTCAGTAAGCTGTTTCTCTTTACCAGCACCAATTCTATAATGACACAGAATCACAGGATAGTTGGGGTTGGCAGGGAGTCTCAGGGTTGGTGACCCCAGCCTTTGCTCAGGAAGGCCAGCTTGCATCAGGTGGTTTAAGGATTGCCTGAGTGATTTTGAGTGCCTCCAAGGATGCAGATTTCACACCTTTTTGGGCTATCTGTCCCAGTGTTTGGCTAGTCTTGTTGTGAAATTTTTTTCCTGATCTAGTTGGAATTTCCCACATTGCAGCTTGTGCCTGCCACTTCTCATACTTGCAGTGAGCACTTCCAAGAAGGGTCTGGCTCCGTCTTCGATACACCCTGCTCTTCAGCAATTCAGGTCCACAGGGACATTTTATTTTAGTCTCCTCTGAAGACCTATCAGCCCCACTTCTCTGACTTTTGTCATACATCATACCAAAAGATATAGTCTAGTCGTCCAGTTTTGTGGCACTTGTACCTGATGAAGCTCCTCTGCTTGGCTTAGGAAGCCTGGTTGACTTCATAGATGAAGTCAGTCCACTAACACCAACTTGGGAGCTGTAATTCTGTGTTGGGCTTTTGGTACTTTTGCGTTCCTGGCAGCTCTTTAACTTTTATACAAAAATGTTTACTGTTCTTGTCCATAGTGACAGAAGGCAGCTTGGTAGAAAGTAACTGCAGAATTATATTTTCTTTTTATTTCTATTTGATTTTCTTCAAAGGGGTTGGGTCATGAATAAGTCACTAAAATAAATGAACCTCAAAGTAGTGTTAATCTTAACAGCTTAACATATTTTAAGAATTATGTCATGACATTCTTTTTACAATTGGGTGTTGTCCGGAGCTGCCAATAATAAAATGTTTTAGCAATGAATAAAAATGGATTCTATTTTAATCAGTGTGAATATTCTGGGGTGCATAAGCTCCTCTGAAAACTCACGGGATCAAATTCTGCCCTTGAAGTCAAGTGAAAGGTTTGCATACAAGTCAGAAGCCAGGCTTTGGTCCGTCGTGTTTTGCTTGGCTTTCATTTTATTGTGATGTTGCAGTGAACATGGTATGTCTTTCCGAATGGAGATTGTGTCCTACTGCTGTTATAATTCCTAACATCTTATGGAATCTTAAGATATTGGCTTCTCAATATCCTTGTGGGGTGCCGGGAGGACTACCACACCCTCTGTCTTATGGTTGGTGGATTGAAGCACAGAAATAAAAGCAGATGTTGTCTTAGGTGTCAGCAAACTTTGTGAACCTGCACTGAGAAATATAAAAATCAGTGTTGTTTATAGTATTTGTATTGAGAGCCATGTTCCTTTTGTCCTCTTGAAACTGGAAGTTTTTATGACTTCTTAAATTTGGCTCTTGGTTTGCAGAGTTCAGAAGTGAAGACCACACAGTGTCCACATGTGAAAAATTTAATTTTTAGGATTTACCTTACAAGAGAACTCTGTTTCTAATGTTGGAATACTCTTTTTCTCTGTGGTGATTTTTAAACTTTCTCAACCATGAAGATATTTTGTAGCATTCTACAATTTCATTCTAGCAACTATTTTATCAGCATTCTGCCTTTTCTCCAGGTATCTTCCACTATACTGCAAAAACTGTTTTTTTTCTTCTATAAATGGTTCTAATTAAACTTAATTTTTCTGTCACAGCCTGCCTTCTATCAAATAACACCAGAGTTGTGTTAGAGTTTGCAGAAGGGATCTTAATTAAGGTTACATGGTCAGACTTCATCCCAACACTTTTTTTTGTCTTCCGAATACTGATTTTGCAATTACATGATAACAGTAATTTTAATTAGGCAATTTTTTGAAAACATTGGGAAAAAAAACCCCACCAAAGCTCACCATCAATCACTTAAAACTGTATTGATGCTAATTTAGAGAGGGGACAAGAAGTATACTTTGCCAGTATGCAACAGCAAAGGAACATTATGCCTTGGAATTGGCTCTAATTCCTCTGAAAAATGCTTTTATGGAATGGATGGTTTTATTAATTTAATGCTACACCTTGACTTTTGTGTCCCAAATTACTTAATGATCTGTTCTGATACGGAACATTGGCTTCACTGCTGTCCTTGAAGTTTGGTATGTAGCGTACCTGCCCATGCTGTGATTGATACACCCATGCTCAGCCTGTTGGAGCCCCAAGGGACAGCTAGAATTCCAAGGGGTTTGACTCTTCATCCTGTTTAGAGTATAATCTAAGAAGCTGTAGGTATATGAATTCTCAGATGTGTATATAGGCGAGTTTTCACAGGGAAATACTGAAGTGGCCTCTCTCTACTATCGGCTGTTTCTCCTTGGTGCATTTCAAATCTGTGCTCCAAACCATCAAATGCTACAGCTTCTTAGAAAACAAAAGTAAATACAAAACAACTTTTCCAAGTCTAATTAACAGAAATTACCGATGTAAAAAAACACCATGATGATGAATAAAAATCTGTTGTTTTATAAGACTTCATCCTTAATAGCTTAATTTTGTATAAGTTAAAAACATCTGAAAATAAATGAAGAAAAGTGTTGGATTAGAGGTGTTGGTATTTCTACCATTTCTACATATAGTAATGTGTATGTAGCAGGGACTTGGAGAATTTCCATGTGAATTCCTACAGTCTTAATTATTAATTTGTAGCATTCCCTTATCTCCCTCCCTCAACTGAAAAACTTGTGATTTCTAGTTTTGCTATGATAACGACATGAGTATTTTCCGTTCCACATCTGTTTGATGGTCCAGAACTGAATGAAACACATACTTCAGGAGCAGATTTTAATCAGTTTAAACATAGTGGAGAAACTGAAATTTCAATGAGGTTATATTGTGTTGCTCAAGATGTTGTTCAGTGGGACTTTGACATTCCAGAGATGGACATCCTCAGCCTCTCGGGGCAGTCTGTTCCAGTGCCTATTGTATTTGTGTTTTGGCTTGGTCAAGAGTAGCCTGCCCAGGCAGGGTACCTCACTGCGGTACCTGGGCATTTTCTTGTTGGTGGGACAAGCCATAGATGTGCTTTAATGAGCTTATCTTTGACTGTCCAGCTGTCCTGTGCTCTTTCCATCCTTCAGCATCCCACGGACTGCTGCTTCTCCAGAGAAGCAATACTTTGCTCTCCTGCTGTCCAATCTCATTTGCTATTTGCTTTCCTCAGTTCCTTTAGTTTTCCTGTCGCACATAAATGCTTACTACTGACAAATGTGAGTTGCCACAACAGCGTCGGGGACCATTTGCAAATAAAGGGTAGGTTTGCTAATGCTTTAGGTGGGGGACCTTATGTATGTGGATTGCTCATCTGAAAGTAATGTCTGCTTTTGATATTGTCTACCCAGTTCTCGGAGTTTTCAATAACTCATAGCCTTAGTCAGTGTTTAAAAACCTTTATTTCTAAGTAGCAAGGTTTTCATACAAAATATTTTATCTAATACTGCAATATTAACTTTTTTTCATCCTGGAAATGCCTCTTTTTCAGATAACGTATTTCAGTCTGTGGTATTATAATAAGCAGAATCAGCGCAGATGGGTAGATTTGGACAAGCCTCTGAAAAAGCAGCTGGACAAATATGCCTTGGAGCCAACCGTGTATTTTGGAGTAGTGTTTTATGTGCCTACTGTTTCTCAGCTTCAGCAGGAGATTACCAGGTAGGCTTCTTATATGTCTGTATAACTTTGCTTTCAGCATTCTGAAATGTGTGCTTTACTTAAAAATTGTCTGCTTTCTGCTCCCCTACCTCTATAGAAATGGAAATTACTACTTCAGGCAGAAATTATGTTCAAACTGTGTGTTTGTTTCCCTTTTGAATATTTAAGCAATATTAACTTTTTTTCATTCTGGAAATGCCTCTTTTTCAGATAACGTATTTCAGTCTGTGGTATTATAATAAGCAGAATCAGCGCAGATGGGTAGATTTGGACAAGCCTCTGAAAAAGCAGCTGGACAAATATGCCTTGGAGCCAACCGTGTATTTTGGAGTAGTGTTTTATGTGCCTACTGTTTCTCAGCTTCAGCAGGAGATTACCAGGTAGGCTTCTTATATGTCTGTATAACTTTGCTTTCAGCATTCTGAAATGTGTGCTTTACTTAAAAATTGTCTGCTTTCCGCTCCCCTACCTCTATAGGAAAGGAAATTACTACTTCAGGCAGAAATTATGTTCAAACTGTGTATTTGTTTCCCTTTTTGAATATTTAAAATAAGTGATAAACTAAGCAAACAGCTACCTTTTTGGTGATCTTAGGAATCGATTCAAGCCTGTTTTCGGTAATAAGCATACTTACATGGTCAGACTTTTAATTTTAGTTCCTTCATGTTTGTCTCCCTTTTTTTTGTATTGAAGATCCATATGCTGCTTTTGGGGACATCCGTCCTGCACAAAGCACATGCAGATTTTGAGCCACACTTTCCTTTATTTTGCTTTCAGTACTTTCTGTACGTACAGTACAATACCTTGGCAAACTACAGACTAAGCTGTGGCTTGTGGTTTTTTTGTGTATCACTGAGTAGTGAAAATAGATGGGAGTTTTCATATCATATGTCCATTTCCACTGTGAATCTGGGGAAGATCACCTAAGTGGTGCTGGCTGCAGGGGAAAAGTAAAATTGAGCATATATATTGGCCAGTTATTCCTATGGGCCTATACATTGGCTTCTAGTGTCTTAATGTGTGGAGTTGTTCTGATTTAATTATTGTTTGGGCTTAGTCCCAGCTGTTTTTTTTAAGTGTTGTATGAGGTTGTTATCTACTGTTGTATGCTATACTGCTTTTTTTGTAGTAGATTCCAGAAAAGTCTAAAAAATAGTTATAAAATGTCACTGTGTTTAACAGGCTGTTAAAGTAGTGAGGGAAGAGAGCTGTCTTTTAGCTTGATGAAAATTTGTGTGGAATTTATTTGACCTTTCTAATTACTGAATGAATTGCAGCACACGATTCCACGTTCTCAGTATTAAAACCTTACTTCACAAGAGTTAACATATAATATGAGGAAGTTAAGAAGCCTTTAAAAGTAGACTTATAGAAGAAAAATGCCCTTCTTGGAAACATTTATGTAGCTGTAATGGCATTTTTGAGTTTTGTGGTGTTTTGTGCTCAAGATAGGGTGTTCCATGGATGGCTACAAAGGGCAGCAGAATTCAAGAAAATAGTAATTCAGACTGTGGACAAATGGTTGCCAGTACAAGATACAACTCAGGAAAAGGTCAGATTAAAGGAAAAAAAAACAACATGCCTTTAAAGTGAGAACAAAATTTACTCAGAAATTGTAATGCAGACATGGAAGTCACTATTGTGATTGAAGGGCTGTGGAATGATAGACCTATTGGAAGAGAATGCAGCAATACTGCAGAAGCGTACTGAAGGCTGTAAAGAGGAGATAATAAGATATTAAGGAAGGAAGAGGTAAAAATTAAAAAAAAAATTGAAGGTATGGTAGTAGATAGAAATTGTTGAGATTCTTTAAGAGGTAGCAGTATTTGATTCTGCAATGATATGTGAAAGGGAAGGGAGGAGAAAACAAAGACCATGAAATAGTGAGTCCGAATGATGAGGGAGACTCCCCTCCAAACAAAGTGGGGAATTCAGGGAGGAACAGGAAATGCAGGTATATTCATCTGCACTCTCTTTAAATCAAGAAGCCCATGTTATCTTTTTCTTTTTTTCCTATGTAGGTATCAGTATTATTTGCAATTAAAGAAAGATATCTTGGAGGGCAGCATTCCTTGCACACTGGAACAAGCAATACATCTGGCTGGTTTAGCTGTTCAGGGTAAGTAAAGCCATTGTGCCAATTAGCTAATGTTGCATTAGAAACTTTGGTGATGTATTTCCTATTGCATGTTTTGTATTTATCACTCAAAGACCGAATTCAGTAAGTTATGAAAGGCTTGCTCCTGAGAACTTTGTCATATGGACTGAGGAGGGGGAACAGTGGGATCAGCGGCCCTGAATTTGCTGCTATTTCTATGCAGTCCTCAGAGGTGGATCTGGGTATTTAACACAGGTTTTCAGGAGCTGGGTTTAGACATTGGCGTTCCTTTGGGGGCTGTAGTTCTCTGCTTACATCAAGAAATCTTTCATCTTTTTCTGTGAATCAAGACTCTTTGGTCTGACATGGTAACAAAAGAAAGAGACGTTTAAATAAATAAGCAAATTTGAATGGACTGTAGTACTTGTATCTCCGTATTTTTTCTCAAGTATCCCAACACCTAAGATTATTTCAAGTTCATATGCAAGACTGTTAACAATTCCTATGTTCAAATCGCTCCTGAAGCCCCATTTCTGTGATATCTACATGAAAATGGCTGCTTTATTTTCCCTAACTGAGGTCAGATGGAATAGAGTGTGCACCAGAGAACCACCAGTCCTAAGTCTGTCTGTACTGATCACGTCTGGTGTTCCCTGCTAACATGCTTGTTTGATCTTAAATCTCTCAAAATAAAAGTTTTTAATGGCAACAGCTTTGTTTAATGTGTTTGTGTATTGCTTCATGGTGAATGCCACTCTGGTGTATCTAACAGGAATTGTAAATCTGCCAAAATTGAAAGGGACTTAAAATCATCGGCTTAAGTTTTTTTGTCTTTTTTAATTACATGTGTTGGTAGTATCACATTAAAGACGATGATTATGTTTTTTGAAAATGCAGTTAGCAGCGCAGTAGAATGAATTATATTAGTGCCTTGTTTATGTAACAGTGAATCTGTTTAATCCAAGCCAGGATTTAATGGTCTTCAACTGACAAAATCTTGCTTTGTTATTTTCATATCTTTGGGCAGTGTAAGTATCTCTTTGCTCAGTGAGTTGTTTATAGAAATCTTGCCATATAATCCTCTTTACAGATGGAATATATTTATCCTTTTTAGCTTTCACATTCCTTTTTCGGTCTTGTATAAGAAAGAAACTGTATGTGTTGATAACACAGTCAAAAAACAATTTGGAAAAAACACAGGTTCTAAATTAATGTGCTCCAATGACTGAAGCAGCTTATACCAGGTAGGGTAGTTAATTTTAGCTGGTGAACGAACAGAAGCAGTTGTTTGCTCTTTCGAGTGAACTGGTTTCAAGAATGATCTGTATTTGAAATAATTACAATAGCCTAACTCTAAACACTGCTTTATCTGAAGTGCTGTGTTGGTGTAGCTTGTCACAAGTTCTCCCCTTTCATCATAAATAACTTGCATATTAATTGTTAAGGCTTAATACAAAGTTGGTTCCTGAGTGTCTCTGTACTATTATGGGTGAGAGTCCGTGGTAATGTAAATAAGATCTGTATACTTGGGGATTGGGTTTATATTTTTGGGAGCCATCGCATACAGACTGCTGTTCCACAGTTTCTCCTGTGAGACTGGTACCATCTTTTCCAATTTAGCCAGGGTAATTTCTCTTCATTGAAATGTTGGCTGTTTTTTTCCTGGAAATAGAAAAATAGGGAAATTCCTGGGGATGCCCTTTGGCATGATGTAAAATCAAACTTTTATTAAAATCAAAACTGTTACTAAGTCTCTTCTGAGCCTGCCTCTGAGTCTGGAAAGGCTTCTAGGTCCCACTTTTTTTGCATGTCTGGGTGTAAGGAGCTGTAGAAGGCCTGAGAGTGGAAGGGTGCTCCAGCTGCTCTGTGCAGTGATTGTGCTGCTGGAGCTGTACTGCAAGGAATTCAGTGGCACGAGGGACTAGAGAAGATGGAGCCAGATTCTTCTCAGGCCATGGGCACAAACTGAAATACAGGAAATTTCATTTAAGCATAATCAAAGTTTTCTGTTGAGAGAGTGGTAAGACACTGGAACAGGTTGCCCAGAGAAGTTGTAAAGTCTCCATCCTTTGTCTTTAAAACTTGATCATAGAAGGCTCTGGGACAATCTGTTGTAGATGACCCAGATTAGGGCTAGATCTCCAGAGGCCCCTTCCAACCTCAACCATTCTGCACTTGAAAAAGTCAAACAAATAAAACCCCAAGGAACTAAGGAACTTGGAGCAACACTTCTTTTTATCACTACTTCTTTCCATTCCCAAGGAGTGTTACCAACTTTTCTGAACAAGATATAAAGATGGGAAGAGTTTTTACTTTTCCTCTTCATAAGCATTACTGGTTAGTTTGTTCCGTCGTTTTACTTTCAGATTGTAGTTCAATAGGATGGAGATTTGCTACTTGGAGATCCTGCTGCAATTAATTGGGTATTGAATCATTTTGTTACAAATGTTTGAATCCAAGAAATTTTTTATTTTTTAGCTGATTTTGGAGACTATGATCAGTATGAATCTCAGGAGTTTCTACAACGATTTGCTTTGTTTCCAGTGGTAAGTACTTACTTTAAATTAATAAATTTAAATTCTTAAGTTGATAAAATTATATTTAACTCTTTCTTTAGATTTGCAAATGCAAATTATTATTAAAGACTCCATGATTTCTCTCGCTTACTGCTCCCTAGATTGTCCAATTCATTAAAGGTTTTCTTTGAGACTGGAGTGAGATATAATACCTTATGTTACACAGGAGCAAAGATCTTCCAAGATCTTTTCAATTTTATTGTATATTACACTGGAAAGAAGGTTGGGGTGGAGATGGGAAAGTGAGTAAAACCACTTCAAAACTGTTTGTGTATATATTACAGTATCTAAGCTCCAAGACTAGAGTGGAGGGTCAATTCGCCTGTGTAAAGAAACTATAATCATTTAATTTTGTAGAATTTTTTGTATTTCATTCTGTAAATGCTATCTTAACTTAAGGGTTGGCTACAAGAAGAAAAAATATTGGAAGAAGCGACACAGAAAGTTGCCTTGCTACATCAGAAATACAGGTAACATTTCTAAAACTCTTTATTGCTTAATGTGATTGCTTCAGTAGCTCAGGAAGCTGGGAATCTCAGAAGACAGTTGGACTAATTTCACCTCCCATTTAAATCAGGTTTTCACTGGTACATTTGCATTGAAATTGCAAGAATTTGATCTTAAGTAAAGGTAGCTAAGACGCTTCGTCCAAGGCAAAGAAAAGTGACGTTGTCAGTTCATCAGTGAAAAAAGTTTGTGCCTCTGTGTGTAATACTGATTATATTGGCCTGTATTGCTTTAAAACAACAGTTTGAAAACTTGAAATCCATTTGCCTTTGAAATGCTTTTGTAACAATATCACATGGTTAAGGTTCAGCAAAAAAAACTTAAATCTGTGTGACATTAGGAAAAAGTAAAGAAACAGATTGATGTTTGAAAAAGTATTGAGAGACAAAGGAAGGAGCATGACAGGATTTTACAGGTAGAGGTGATGTCTTTTATGAGATCAGCTGAGGTAGGTGGGGAAATACAAGCTTTTAATCCCTGTGAAACTACTGCAGGTCTGTGAGAAAGCTGTCTTTGCCAGTCGGTCTAACTAAAAAAAAAAATAAAAATACCTTTACCTATAGATACCTATAGATCTTGTCTTTTCTTATTGGTCAAACCACTACAGTTAAAACTTGGTCAGCATTTAGAAAATGACACTCTCTTCCCTGAAATGCGGAGCATCCTAAACATGTCTACTGTGATAGGAGCTCAGGTCTTGAACACGTGTGCCAGAGTAATGGTTCTGATAAAGTGAGAAAATATGGTGACAATGATGGATTTGAAGAAGAATGTGATAATTGTCTGCCATGAACAGAGATAATAATTTTATCTGGTCTTTGTTGCCATTTACTCCTAGAGATGCCTGAGAGAAAGAAGTTACTAGAATCAAAGTGTAAAGGCTGAGACAAATATATCAGCTATTGGTAGAGATGAAACCAGCATGATTTGGATCCCTGGATGTCTTGGGGATGCTTTTTAAGCTTTGACAGTGTCAGGCAGAGTTAAAAAAAGGTGATTTTTTTTCTTATTGGCAGTACTAGCTGATGGTTGTTTTCATTTGTAGAGGCCTTACTCCTCCTGATGCGGAAATGTTGTATATGCAAGAAGTAGAGAGAATGGAGGGCTATGGTGAAGAGACCTATCCTGCAAAGGTAAACAGGCTTCAGTTGCTTTCTTTCCTGATGTAAAAAGGGCTACTTCCTGCCAAAATAAATAAAAACCAAAACCCACCCCTTTTCTCCCACAGAATTGTAAAAGTAGTTGCTTCTCATGTAACTTTGCTCTCCAAGACTAATTTCTGTATTTGCATAATTCTTACAGGACAGCCAAGGAAGTGACATATTCATTGGAGCATGTCTTGATGGTATCTTTGTGAAACACAAAAATGGTCGTCCTCCTGTCGTATTTAGGTCAGTATTGTTATTTCTTAAAATATCTTTGTGCACTTTACGTGTGTTCCTCACTGACATGAATGACTCTTAGATTTGATTTGTATTTAGTAGTTTGATAAACCAGAACTATAGTCTTGTAGTTGTCACGCTACAGTGAATACTGAAGGTTGTGGGAATTTTTCAGTGTATTGACTGCAGGATGAGTATCATAAAGCCAGATTAATTCTAAGAGATGAACATTTAATATACATTCTATTGCAAAACATGTACTGAGTCAAAAATGAGCAATTCTCTGCACATAGAGCATCTTAAGTCCGAGATGGGACGTCAATTTACTTAGAAATTTTCAGTTGTAAAATTATCGAGGAGTTCCTTTCATATATTATATATAAAAGAAATAGAGGACAGTCACATGATAACATTTGTTTAATTATTTTGGATTCATACATTGTGTTAGTTTTTTATTCAATGTTCTCATAGTTAAATTGTTGACATAGGCATGTCTGCGAATTACCTAGCAGTTAAAATTCAGTCTCATGTGAAAAGACCTGGTTCCCACTGACTTCAAGGGGGATTGCTTCAGCATCTTGGGACAGAATTTTGAATATATTTAACAAAATACATCTGAAGATTTTTTTTTTTTTTTTTTAATGAGTCTTAGTAATCTGTAGGCATTGCTAGAGCAAGAAAGGCTTTATCTTAGTGAACGTTAATCATCTAGAATTGAATTTTTGGCTGAATATTAACAGAATCTTGAAATCCTGTGGTCCAACAGTTACTGGAACTCGTGCTGAAAGTAGCAACTGTGATTCTTTCTGTTAGTGTTGTGGGGTTTTTTTAATAGAATTTATAAATTCAGTACTGTTAACTGTCCTTCACAAAAATCTCTCTCTCTGCTACTGATAGGAGAGCTGATGCCACGTTCTTGTAGAGTGGTAGAAGTGCCCTACTCTGCTTTCTTGCAGAATTAAGCAACAGCAGCTCTGCTGTCTGACTTTCCAACCACATAGGGGAGAGGAATAATGCTTTGTCCATACATTTATCATAATTTCCCAAAGAATTGTCAATACAGTGCCTGTGTAAACATAAGAAAAAGCATGTACGTTGGAGAGCATCAGCAAGTATTCATATTCCAATTCCAGGATCTAATTTTCTGCTTTGTTACTTCTTTGTTGTATAACTATTGGCAGTTCTACCAGGGGTAGATACATCATGGTGTTTGGGTGGCAAAAAAAACATAGACAAATGACCCACTGATACAATTACAAAGGCTGGGTTACACTTCAGATCGGTTCAAGTAATTTCATAATTGTATCTGTAAATGTCTATGAACCAAGGCTTTAAATTTGAGGGGTCTTTTTTCTACATCCAAATGGGGACGTGAATGTTTCTCTACCTCATGCACATGATGGTGAGTAGGTACAGAAGATGCTGTTAACCACATCTATATTATGAAAATGGAAGTTGTATAAATACCTTTAGAGTCCTGTATTTTTCCCTGTGTTTGTGCACTGCAGAATGTTGTTTTAATAAATCAATGATAAAGGCTTTATTTACACTAACATAATGCTAATGGATCAAACTACATTTATATTTAATAAGTTGAATAAATATGTGGTATTATATTTCTTGCAGTCTAACTTCTTCTCATCTATCAATATGAAAGGGAGTTGTAGAAAATATGTTTAATAATGCCTTAATGTCTTTGATTAATCTAGATATTTTTTTTTCCCCTAGAATATATGGTTTGCTTTCAAGCAGTTGGAATAGTATCATTTACTGAGAACTAAATTTGTTCAAATTTGATTATTTTTAAAAAAAAATAATCCTTGAAAGAATTTCAAGTGGAAGATAAGTAATAAACTTACTGTGCATCTCCAAGGATTAGCCTCATACATATTTTCCATCCAGCAGTTATTTAATGGTCATGGAAGTGATGATCGGCAACTTTCTCAGATTGATGAGCTTTTTATTTGTCCTTGGCTCTTTATCCATATTCTTGGTGGTGGTTCTGTTCTTCAGTTGCATTTTTTGTGGTTTAAAAATCAGAGCTTGCCAGTCATGTTCTATCCCTTTTGTCTGCAGGTGGCATGATATTGCCAACATGTCCCACAACAAATCCTTTTTTGCATTAGAGCTGGCAAACAAAGAAGAGACAATCCAGTTCCAAACTGTGAGTAGATTTTTACTTGTCTTTTTTCACTAAGACATCAGCAAATCAAAGCAGAAATTAAGACTTTCATAAATCTGATAAAATTGTTAGGCTAGAGTTGCATGTTCAGGTCTGCAAAGTACAGTTTTAGGGAAAACCTGGTGACAGTAATGAAGTTATATTAACAAGCAAAATTGGTCAGTGCTAATTTAATCTTAAAAATGTTGGCGGCTTGTCTGAAAGCGAGTGAAGGGTACGCGCATTTGGCCTAATATGCAAATTTTGGTTTTGTTATTTGGCAGGAAGATATGGAAACAGCAAAATACGTGTGGAGGATGTGTGTGGCAAGACACAAATTTTACAGACTAAATAAATGCAGCCTGTAAGTAGAATACTTTTACAGAACTCCTGGTGCCCTTGAAGCTTCCGTGGGAAGTGAAATCTTTCATAACCTCTGTAATGTCTTCACTGTCCTTTTTAGATGGTAATAATGAATGACTTGGGGTTTTTTTTTCTTAAACTTTTTTGAGAAAATACTTGTCTCCAGTTTCTCAAACATGTTCTGTATTACAACAGAGGACAATATGAAACACTGATATCTTACCACAAGTACTGGTGTTTGGCCCCTGCTGCTGGATCTCAGTGCTGTGACTGACTTTAGTTGCTTTGGGGGCTACTATTGCTAGAATGTTTGTGAGCTACTGCAATCACTGGGGGTTTGGCCTGGGTCTGGGTGAACTGCTCTGAAAGGACACTCGAGAGGCCTTGAAAAGGGCGGGAAGTGTATGTGAAGCACTCCTGAAATGTGCTGGATTGACAGCTGAGAGGTATGTGGTCCTTTGGATATCCATGGAATCCGTATAGCTCAAGTAGCACCACTGCAAAGTAAATTTAATACAATTCATCAAATTAAATTTCAATGGGCTGTTTTCCAACTTGTAAATCAAGGACTGGAGTAGTTACTTCAGCCAAAGAATAGAGAATTAGACCCAGTGAATAGTCTGTCATAAAAAAGCATGATTCCCAAATGTTTCATTCCTCTACTTTGGACAGGTGAAGATAGCTATGGAGGGGTTGGTCCAACATTTACTGAGGCCAGTGGAAAGATAATGGAATATTTTGCACTGCAGATTACTCGCTAGTGTGTTTGACGGTCATTTATTTTAGAAGAGTAAGATTAATTTGGAATAAAGTAGACCTTATACCTCTAAGCTTGTAAACCTGGATGCCTTTTGAGAGGGCTAAGAAGTAGTGGTAGTAGTGCATTTGTGGGACTTGTGCTTTAGTATCTAAATAACGTTCTGAATCTATAGTTCTGCATTGAACATCAGTCTCTAGGATTACTTATTTTAACCCTTTCACCACAACATGGTTTTATTGATAAGTGAAGTCCTCAAAAAAACCTTTTACTGATTACCTCTACTCTAAGATTCCTTTTCATCTGATCCTGCTGTTGAAAATTGTCTTATGCATGTCTGTATTTAGTTCAGGGATTTTTTTTCTTTATCTGTACATACCTTGTCTTTAGAGACTCCCTGGACTCTCCACCTGAGGAGGGCTCTCAGAAATCTTCCCTCATTCTTTCCCTTCCACGCTTTCCAATCCTTTCTCGTCCTTCACTTCCCAAAGGGTGAGCTGAAAAATCATCTTTCTGAAATCCATCAGTTCCTGCATGTCTATTATTCTGCTGTCTGTTGATCTCTGTCAAGATGCAGAGAAGGGTGGGGAAAAAGGAGCTTAAGGTTTCCAAACCTTACATCCTGGAGAATATCCAACAGATTATGAAAATTTATTACAATTAGCTTGAATGTTAGAACATACAAATGCTCATGCAGTATAGTCATGCTTTCTGTAATATCCGTAACGTTACGTTCTGTAAATGGTTTTATGCCTGGTCTTGTAGAACAGGCATCTTACAGTATGAGATTTTATATGGGGTTCAAATTTGGAGCTAGTCCCTGGTTATTCTGCTGCTTTTTCTGCCCTGCTGCAGTGCTTCAGGGGTGTCTCCTTTTTATGCCTCATAGAAAGAAGGCAGAGAAATAACTGAGGTATTTTGTTCCTGGTTTTGTGATTCTGCTGATACTATCTGTGATGATGGTTTACGTACAGAGCTCTTTTCTTCTGAGACTGTTGGGGAGGACTGTATAACTCCAAGAAATTTAGAGTGAATTTTAGCTGGATTGGGAGGACTTTCCAAGGTTTGAAACTGATCTTGGTGCTGTTAAGAATTACTTCTCACTGTAAAATTTCTTCTGTAGACAAACCCAGCCCGTTACAGTGAACCCTGTTAGAAGGCGGTCTTCGTCCAGGATGTCTATGGTAAGGAGAGCAAATAGGTCTATATTTGCATTTTTATGGATTTCAGTTGACTTTGAATCAGACATCAATTTCCTTCAGTGAAATAGAAGGAACAGTGAAAAAGATGAGTCTAGTATGTAAGGAACTGTTTCTGACTTGTAGAAAAAGCCACTATGTAATAATCTGAATCATCAAATTAAAATAATTGCGATGAAAAATATTTTAAACACTTCTACTTTTAATTTGGTTGCCCTGTCTCTAGGAGACTCATCTAGATGTCAGATGACAAGATGGAGTCTTGGGTTGGTGATGTGTGGTTTTGGTTTTGTTTCCTTCTTTTTTATTATTTCTTGTATGACCTCACAGGAGAAACTTACATTCCAAATTTAGACAAGTGGTTTAAGACTAAGGCTTTGTGAACATTATATATTATATATATATATATAAATGTTATACATTATATATAAAAAAATCTTCAAGATTTATTTTTTAAATAAATCATGTGTTTCTAACTAACAATAAGATGCTTGCTTTCTTAGCCCAAGCCTCAGCCTTATATGATGCCTCCACCACCTCAGCTGCATTACAATGGTCATTATACTGAACCATATGCATCTTCCCAAGGTAAGTTCATTAAATTATTTTACAAAGAAAACATCAGCAAATTCATTAACATAAGTGTGACAATTATTTTGGTGAACCTGAACAGTTAAATAATGAAAGGCATCTAAATGACTGAGTTGCTCTCTTCTGGAGCCTTGCAAATTGTACATCCAATGAAGTAATGGTTAAATTATTAAATGTATATTGGATGTATAAACTGTTAGATCATTTTATTCACCTGTCAGAGTGGATATATATTAATGTGCAAACAATATATGGTGGTGGTTTCAACTGTCTCCAAAATTTCAGAAGAGAAGTTAAGTTAATTTGATTTCCTTTTCTTTATTAAGGTCTTGTGGTACTATATCTAGCTATTATCTGGAGGGAGAGAAGAAGAGTGACAGGAGTGTTTTTAGGTGGTTGTTGGGGTGGTTCTAGGTTTTTTGTTTTGTTTGCTTTTTCTTCTTGCTTGCTGTTCAGACTGATCTCATTAAATTAGTGCAAACCCTGGTGTAGACGTTCTTTCTTTCAATTAGTGTGGTTTAAGATTGATATGGATTTTGTTTAACTTGGACTGATACCTAGCAAATCTACCCCAAACAGAAGAAAATAACTCTTAAACTGAGACAGTGCTTTCCAATAGGAATTTGTATCATCTAAATGAACATAGTAGGTTATTCTGGTGTACATACCTTGGGTGTCAACAACAAAAAACCTGGGGTGGGGTTTTTTTTGTCCTTCCCATTTTAATACATAGCTAAGGATGAATAACTGGGATTTTGATAGTCTCAAATATTGATTAGCAATGTCTTAATAGAGGTATCTTCATTTGGTATATTGGACATAAAGGTTGTTCTTAAACTTTCCTTTCAGATAACCTCTTTGTGAGCAATCAGAACGGATACTACTGCCACTCCCAGACTAGCCTGGATAGAGCCCCTCACGACTACAGCGGTCGGATCCGTAACGGGAGCGTCTACAGCGCACACAGCACAAACTCCTTGAACAACCCCCAGCATTACCTGCAGCCCTCCCCCATGTCCTCCAACCCCAGCATTACTGGAAGCGACGTCCTCAGAACCGACTACATCCCGTCGCACAGACACAGCGCGCTGATACCGCCTTCTTACCGCCCTACGCCCGACTACGAAACTGTGATGAGGCAGCTCAACAGGGGGATGGTGCACACGGACAGACAGAGCCATTCTATGAGAAATCTGAACATTGGCAATTCCTATGCTTACAGCAGGCCTGACGCCTTAGTTTACAGCCAGCCTGAAATACGAGAACACGCTCACTTTGCTTCCCCACAATCTAACCATTACCCGTTTAACCTGAACTACAGCTTTCACAGCCAGTCCCCCTACCCCTATCCTGCTGAAAAGCGCCCGGTTGTTGGGGCAGTCAGCGTCCCTGAGCTGACAAATGTGCAGCTCCAGGCTCAGGATTATCCAGCACCAAATATAATGAAGACCCAAGTCTATCGCCCGCCTCCCCCGTACCCGTACCCGAGACCTGCCAATAGTACTCCGGACCTTTCCCGACACATCTACATCAGCAGCAGCAATCCAGACCTGATCACGAGGCGAGTGCACCACTCTGTCCAGACATTTCAAGAAGACAGCCTGCCTGTGGCACATTCTCTTCAGGAAGTCAGTGAACCTCTAACCTCTGCCCACCACGCTCAGCTGCAGAAGAGGAACAGCATTGAAATAGCAGGCTTGGCTCCCAGCTTCGAAGGGATAAGAATTAAAGAGAGGACCATGTCAGCTTCGGCAGCAGACGTGGCTCTTCCAAGAGTTATCTCAGAAGGGTCACAGCCCAACGTGCTGATGGAGAGGACAAAGCAAAAAGAAAGTGAGCAAGAAGAAAGTGTGAATTGTGATCATAAGAAAACTCTTTCGGATGCCACTATGCTGATTCACAGTAGTGAGGAAGAAGAAGAATTTGAAGAAGAAAACAAGGCTGGTACAAGTCTTTCTCCTCTCCCTGAAGATCAAACCCAACTTTCATCCGTTATGGGTGGTTATTCTCATGATTCAGTGCTGAACTACCCTTATAGCTCTGTTGCTTCACCTGCTGGCCCTTTGCATATTCTTGAGCCTAAATTACATATTACAGAGACAGAAAAGAGAATGAAAGATATGAGCCCTGTTCATTTACTAGTAGAAAGCCAGGTACAGAGAAGAGGGGAAGGACTGCTTACTCCATCTATGTCAGAATCTGATCTTACAACATCAGGGAGATACAGAGTAAGGAAAGATTCAGTAAAGAAGAGACCTGTGTCTGATCTTCTGTCTGGGAAGAAGAATATTGTGGAAGGCCTTCCTCCGTTAGGTGTAAGTAGATACTATTTCTCTTGTTTCTGTAGTGGGAGTTGTGTGGGGGAATTTGTTTGAAGTTTTTTTTTTTTTATACAACCTGAGATGCTTTTAAAACATGTGAATTAAAAACTACATTTGAAGTTGGGTTTTTTTTTTAATCAACCTGACATGCTTTTAAAACATGTGAATTAAAAACTACCTTAAACTTGACCTTTATTTTTCTGGTTTTCCCTAAATAACTTTGCTTAGCTATCTTTTATCCGCTCCTCTGCCACGTCTAAGTTCTGTTTGTATAGTCCTCCCACACAAACCCAGCTCTGCAGCCTTCATCCATCAACACACCTAACCTGGCTGGCAACTGTACAGTGAGTGAATTTAAAGTCAATTCTAGATCCCAAATTCCTCCCTACTAATTCTTACCTGGAACAGAAGCAGACCTTAAGCTTGACCTTTATTTTTCTGGTTTTCCCTAAATAACTTTGCTTAGCTATCTTTTATCCGCTCCTCTGCCACGTCTAAGTTCTGTTTGTATAGTCCTCCCACACAAACCCAGCTCTGCAGCCTTCATCCATCAACACACCTAACCTGGCTGGCAACTGTACAGTGAGTGAATTTAAAGTCAATTCTAGATCCCAAATTCCTCCCTACTAATTCTTACCTGGAACAGAAGCAGCTCTTTCCATTCCACTGCCAGCTTTCTAATCTTCCTCGCACTGAAAATTTGGATGTAGCTGAATGTTTATTTTTTTTTTGATTCATTTGCTTTCTTCTTCTGACCTAAGAGGGAGAGTTTTTTTTTTTTGATTGGTTTGCTTTCTTCTTCTGACCTAAGAGGGAGACCTGACACATTATGCAATAAATTCTTTCTTTACATTCTCTTCTTTCCTCCATCCTTGCCCCTTTTCATATCGTTTCCTTTTTGCCTTCTCTTCAAGCTGTTTTTATCCTGCAAATGGTACTTCTTGCTTGCCACATCTCGTTCTCCTACTCCAATCTTAGGAAGCCATAAATAGTGAACAACTACAAGTTTCTTCACCTGCCCTGTAATTCCCACCTCACAGAAACATCAAGGTCTGTGTGGGACTGTACAGTTTCCCTGGCAGTCCTTACCACTCCTTTTGTTTGAAACTTTTTCTCAGTGTTACAGTCTGTGGCATATTTCAGTTGCTAATGGAGGAAGACCATTTTTATTATTATTGTGCTGTTTAGACTTGATTGTTCTTAACTTTACCTGCCTGAGTTAGTGTCAAATAGCTTTCTGCACAAATTGGACTGCAGTGGAACTACCATCTATATTCTACTGCTGTAGTAACTGTTACAGCTTATGACTCAAAAGCTGTGTATTTAAATTGGTACTGCTCTCACAATTTTTTTGTCTGTTGGAGTTGCTATACATGGAGCTGAACACAGTGAAATGAACCCTCATCAGCTTCAATTCTGTTTATAGTTGTGTATGTTTTTCTAAATCTCCTTCCTCCTGTTTGTTGTGTGGATATAGGAAAAAAGGTGATACCTTTCTCCTTGTGTTCATGTTTAGTCACTTAGTGCTTTGATCTCCAAAAGACACATTTTCAGACAATGATGTGTCTACCAAAATCATACCCTGCCTTTTCCTGCTGATAGCTATTGTAAATGTTCAAAGCAACCTTTGAAATGAAATTGGTATTAAAACTTTTTCCACTGGAAGTGTTCAGTAAAATACTTTCTAGGTCAGTAACATTTACTAGTGCCATTCCATAATTGAGAATATCACCTTTCTGGATTCCATATTGAGTAAGAAAGACGGCCCCAGCAATGTTTGCATATTTTGCTTTTCAATGAACTCTTACCGCTGTGTTTGTGTTCACTTCACTTTCGAATGTGGTCTCATCCTCTTAGGTTTGTCTTCCTACTCCTTTACTACTATTTAGCTTTGGAAAGCATTATTATTGTTCAAGCAGCATATACACTCAGGTTTTTGGTATATTTTTGTTTACAACCAAACTTAGCAACTGTGGGAATGATGAAGTTTTGTCTTACACTTCTTAAAAGAATCATTGAATTTATTCTTTCATAAAAATCTTCCCTTGGTATATTTCTCAAATAATGAATGATTACTTCAATAATTTAGATTCATGGCCTGGTTTAGGGTTTGTATCCGTCTGCAGTTCTGTGTTCATATTTTGTATGTGCAGTTTCTTGCAAATTTAGGCAAACGTTTAACTCTGTCCAAGTATCTGAAATGTATGTGCTCATGGTTAATGCCTGCTTGGAGGGAAGAAAAGTGTCTGCAGACTAAATAGTCTAGTAAGGAGTCATTTTTATGTGGTTTTGGCCTTGGAAAGTGATTTCAGTTCTGTCCAAGAATGTTAATTATCCAGAATTGTCACCTCACCCTCAGTTGTGAGCTTTGTAGGGAGCAATATTTGTCATTCTTATGCAGTTTCATTAACCTGCCTGGAATGAAGACAGACTTGTGTTGTGTCCTTGGAGGAATGTAGTCCCACCACCCTAATCTCTCACTGCACTGCTTATCAAAAAAAAAAAAAAAGGTCAAAGCTGTTTCCAGAAGGGGTCAAAGAAGTATCCTTTCCTTAACTGAACTTGTCTCATTTCTGCTTTATAACTTCATTAGATATTTAAGAATATTTACAAGTTTGAACTTTTCTTTTGCAGGGTATGAAAAAGAATAAAAACGATGCAAAAAAAATAGGGCCTCTAAAGCTGGCTGCCCTAAATGGACTAGCTTTGACTAGAATGCCTCTGACAGATGAGGGCAAGGAAGAATCAACAAGAGCAACAAATGATGAACGGGTATGTTGGAGCTTTTTAATGCTTGATTTACACTATTTACTTTTCAAAATGAAATGCATATGAATCGTGCTTTGTGTTGACTTTAAAACACTTCAGGATCAAAGTAACTCAGATATCAAGAACAGAAACAGAATGAAGAATGAGACTTCTGATGGATAGGACATTCCTAGAAGTATTGGGTGTAACTCAGATTTTTCTTTAAGATTTTAGATGACAGTGATTCAGATAACAGTATACCCTTGGAACATAAAGGAAACAAATTAACTAATGTCTACTGATACTGATACATTTTTGTGCCAGGTCTTTGTTTTCTCTCTTAATTTTGCAGTTTTCCACACTGAAAACATATGAAAATTAAAACACTAAGTGTGAGATGGAACTTCTTTGTAATTATCAGTAATTAATCCAATTTTTACAATAAATTTTGTGGTTAAATTGCATCACCAGAGTGCAGCTTATGCAGATTGTGTTTATGTGTTTTCCTCAGATGGATCCCTGGAAATATAGATGGAACATGTGTGATCTGCTGAAATTTTAAATTCAGTAAAAGATCTCAGATCACTCAGAGGACGTCAGGTCCTAGAATTTGAGGATCATATTTTGAGAAATAGAAGACTCCATCTGCTTGTGTTAGGGTAAACATCATCAGTAAATATACTTCAGCCTGCCTTGTGTGTCATTAAATAGGTACAGGAAAGTGAAATACAGTCAGTATCCAGCCTGTGAAGGCTAATGTAGAACAGTGCTGTCATCACACATCTGACCAGGGAGCAATGAGATGCACCAAGGGCTGTGGTGGTTATTGTACCTCCTGCAACCAGTCTTTAGAATCTGGTTCTGACTATGGTTGGGTGTCTTCAGCTGCAGATCCCCCTCTAGCTCAGTTTGTTGGCGGTCACTGGGCAGGGATTAGAACCTAAAGGAACAGTCCTGCTCTCCCAGCTGCAGTTTTAAGGAACAGGCCAAGAAGAGTAATTGCAAGTCACACAGTAGAAATTCAGTCTTGGAGTTTGAAGGCTTGGAGTGAGATCCATAGGAGGGAGATTTGTCTGTTCATTTCAACACAGTTGATGTTCTTTTTGAACTATGTATACATTCCTTAAAGATGCGAAGGGACAACAATTGTGTTATTGAGATACAGTTGTACATTTAGTACCTGTGTTGGTCATTTCCTCTTACTTGCAGCCATCAGAATAGATACCATGAAATGGGATTAATTCCTAAAACAGAGAGGCAATGCAAAGCAGATGGGAGACATGAAAGGAAGTCTAAACTGCAGATATTGTTTTAGAAGACGACTTAAAAGTTTATTCAATGCCTCTTTCATTGCTGAGCTTCATGTTATTATGAAGGAATTTAGCCTAAAGATAATAAAGGAGTTTGTACAGTTGATGTATTGATGTGCAAATTGCATGTGATTGAGGTTTTACCCCTTCCTCTGCAACATTTGGCATGGAGGTTATTTGATACAAGCCGCTTTTCTGACCTGATACCGTGGAGCAGTTGCTGTGAGAGGCTGGGGACATGTGACATAGATGAAATTTTCTGGCTGAAATCTGACATACTATTCCTCTAATTATTGTTGGCAAAGATATGGTGAAATTCCAGAAGTGTCTTATGATTTAGAAAGAACTTGGTTTTGAAAGAATAAATCAGGGTGGGGCAGGGTGCAGTTTATTAAATAAGCCAGATTGAATTATGCTAGAAGAAAAAATCCTAGGTTTATACCTCAGCTGCAGCGAGATGTTCTAAGAAGGCTTAGCTGCTGTATACAAAGTTTAGTATCTTCACTGTATGCAAAGTTTAGTATCTTCAGCCTAAGAAAATGGAGTATTGGTGGTAAATTATCAGCTTATTGCCTGAGGCAAGTGTTTTGTTTTACATTTTCAGAGTTTTTCTCCATCCAAATGACAAATTTGACTTACTTTACTATTATTTTTTTATTACAAGGTTAAAAGAGACTTTGCAAATGACATAATCAAACATGCTATATTGAGCAGGAGGATTAATGACTATTTCTTGTTCTGAGGTGTTTGAGGTGGTTTGTACTATAGTGTAGCTGTCTGGTTTGGTCAAATGTTTCTTTGACCGACTGGGTTGTCTTTATAGAAACTATGACATAATTTTTCTTTCACCAGTGGTATCCACAGTCTTTGTGACCTAATGAGGTATAACAGACTTCTTAGTTTTCACTTGAACAAAATTCCTGTGGGTTAGGGTCGCTTCTAATTTATTCTGGTATGTGTGTGAAAACATTAATAGCTGGAAAAGCATTGAAAAAGTATGTCGGAGAGGAAAATATATACATTTTTTTTCCTTCATGAATTCTTTATTAAAATAGACTCGCCTTAGAATGTGACCAGTTGTGTGGTTGTCTGTTTTCTGTCCTTCAGTGTAGAGTTCTGGAGCAGCGGTTAGAGCAGGGGATGGTGTTTACTGAATATGAGCGCATTCAGAAAAAAAGACTCCGAGATGGTGAGTGCTCAATAGCTCGGCTTCCTGAGAATGCTGAAAGAAACCGCTTCCAGGACGTCCTTCCTTATGATGATACCAGAGTAGAGCTAGTCCCAACCAAAGAAAATAACACGGGTTACATCAATGCGTCTCATATCAAGGTGAGAGAAATACTGTTGGAGAAGTATTTTTCCAGTTCATGCGGTAGCTAAAAATGGATTTAGTTACCAATTTTGCTTTGGTCAGATGAGTGAGAATCTCTCCATCTCTCTCTTTCCCTTCCTCTGCAGAGGTTTCTTTGGGGAAAGGGGGAACCTATTTTTCCTCATTACCTAAAATAATGGAGGGGTTTAATTATTGGAGAGGTCTTCTGCATTTTGCTTCTGTATTGATTGGCTGTCTTCTTTCTCTCTCTGTCTCATCTCCCTGGATTGGTGCTAACTGAAGGCTCGCCCATTCGTCCCAGAGTTAAGAAGGCAAATAGCTTTATAACAAACTGGGATGCTTTGCAATGATTATGATATTTTTGAACTGCAGTGGCAGAGGAACAGGAGCTAGGGAAACTCTGATCTTTTATAATCTTCAGTTACACCTTTTCCCCAGCCGTAGCTCTTTCAAGTCTCTTTAAAAAAGTGAAGAAGTTTCAGGCTGACTTCAAGAACCTTCAAGGCAGTTCATTCATTTTCAATGCATTTACTTACTTAAAGTGCAACTTCATGCTTTCTCTTAAAAGAGTTGAGATTGTCCAAGCAGTAGTCGTAGTTGTGTTGCTGTCTTTTATCTAATAAATCTGTTTGTACACTGACATGGTACCATAGTTTCTATACTTCAGCTCATTCACAAAGGTTGAGTAACTCTTCTGACCCTTCTCAAACAAGTAAGATACTATTTTTTGAGGAAACATCAGCTAATTCTGACTTTTTTAGTGCTTATAATAGCATTTACAGCATCAGGGTATGAAAGCTTCTCTAAGCCTGAATCAGCTAGAATATCTTAAATTTATAAAAAAGAAATGCAGTTTTATTTACTCACTTTTACGTTATGCTTATGATATAAAATACATTTTTTAGCTATGTGCCTATACAGTTTTAAACATTGTGTCTCTTCTGCATCTCGTGTGACAAGATGCAGCCAAAAAATGGGAGGGAGATACAATGCTCCCAATGGGTTCCAACTCCTGGAGTGTTACTGTCTTTTGTCAGTTTGTGCATCTTCAAAAGGCTGGCTTAAGAATCAGGGAAAGGAAGTTTTCAGTAACTACTCATCTGATGCCTTTCTTTTTACAGATCTCTGTTGGTGGCATAGAGTGGGATTACATTGCTACGCAGGGCCCTTTGCAGAACACGTGTCAGGATTTCTGGCAGATGATCTGGGAGCAAGGGATTGCCATCATAGCTATGGTGACAGTAGAGGAAGTGAGTATAAACTGAGTCAGGTTTCTCCCAGAAATCCTCCAATGATTTTGTTACGGTCTGTTACAGGAAGGGGGTCTTTCCTCCAACAAGATGACCAAAGATAAATTACTAGTGACCGTTCTGTCTTGCTTTCCTTGGCAGAAAGATGTAACTTTGAAAACTCTTCTTTACTCTGAGGGTGATGAGACACTCTGCCCAGAGAAGCTGTGGCTGCCCCATCCCTGGAGGGGTTCAAGGCCAGGCTGGATGGGGCTTTGAGCAACCTGGTCTGGTGGGAGGTGTCCCTGCCCATGGTAGTGGGGTGGAACTAGATGATCTTTAATGTCCTTCCAACCCAAACCATTCTGTGATTCTAGGATTGGTTTACTCAGTGAGAAGCCATAATACTGTAGTAGGACTTTATTCTTATAGGAGCATTAGTTGTATTAGTATTCTTAGGCTTCTTGCTCAGCAAGTGTTTTACTTTTAAGGAAAGTGGGCGAGAAAAAAGCTTCAGATACTGGCCACGTCTTGGTTCAAGACACAACACTGTAACGTATGGAAGATTTAAGATCACCACACGATTCCGTACGGACTCGGGCTGCTACGCAACAACGGGTTTGAAGATTAAGCACCTTCTCACAGGACAGGAGAGAACAGTTTGGCACCTGCAGTACACTGACTGGCCAGAGCATGGTTGCCCGGAGGATTTAAAGGGATTTCTCTGTAAGTCCTATTTAGTAGCTTTGATTTGGGGCTGTTTCTGTTTTCTTTTTAATACCTCCTAAAATGCTACACATGAATTAATTTTTGGTAATTATGCCAAGCATTCTGCTGTAAGAGATGCCTACACACCAACAAGAGATACTGAGTTACATTTTTGGTGGGAATACACCTGCCAGTTTTTTAAAGTGACTGTTTATGTTTAAAAGCAAATACATAATTTACTAAAGGCTCATATAGATTAAAGCACAATTGCATCACACGCTACACATTTGAGTGTGTTCCAGAAGCAGCAAGATGGCCACAAGCTGCCTTTGGTGAGAACAAGGCAAAGAAAGCCCTACAAATGTTAGATAATCTTTATTGCTCTGTATTGCTTTGCTTTAGATATGACTTATGAGTGCATCATTTTTCTGTGGGATGTCTTATGTTAAATTGCTACTTTTCTGGTGGTCGTAGAGCATAATGGCATGGCTTATGTGGCTTCACCCCCGGAATTTATTATTCTTATCTTGTTGAACTTACCAGCTTACTTGGAAGAGATCCAGTCCGTGCGGCGCCACACGAACAGCACCGCGGACCCAAAGAGCTCCAATCCCCCCGTGCTGGTGCACTGCAGCGCAGGTGTGGGACGGACAGGAGTGGTCATTCTGTCAGAAATCATGATCGCTTGTTTGGAACACAATGAGGTGATCTCTTTTTCTTCCTCGTGCTTTAAATAATGTGAGGTAGTGGAAGAGTAAATAACCTGCTTAACAAAGATGTTATGGCTGTTCATCCAAGTGTTCCCAAGATATGTCCTTTGGCAGAGCCCTTAAAACTATGGCTGAAAAAGCTCTTGGCAATTCAACGGAAGTTAATAATCTTCTAGAGTTGCCCACTTACACACTGGTTACTGGAATGCTCATTTGGAGTCTTGACTCCATCAGATGTTGAGTCACTCTGTGGAACAAGCTGTGCCTTAGGCTACTGAGCATATTTCAGGATTTCACCCTGACTTACCACTTTTACTTCAGGTCTTAGTTTTAATTGATAATATTCAAGAACATGCTCGTGGCCAGTCTCTCTGCTTGTTATTAAATATTTTGTTCCAAAGTGAGTGTATTTGCAGTATCAGTCTCAGCAGAGGACAAGGTGGTAGTTTAATAGAATAAAACCTGGTCAGCTTTTAACCAGAAGTGAATAGCTAGAAAGTGTTTATTAATAATACAATATGCCATCTGAGAATCAACAAACTGTTTTGCTGGACATCCCTGTCCTAACACAGTGACAGACTTTTGCAGCCATTAGAAATGTGAAGACTCCATGAGATGGGCAAGTGTAACGTGATGTGTGTTTCACAGCGGAGGAGGAGGCATGGTCAGTGGTGTAGGGCAGGCCATGGATTGTCAGAGCTGAAACTGGAGCAGCTGGTTCTGCCCTTAGATCACTGGTCCTGCTCTGAATCTCCCACTGAGAAAGTGCCAACCGGTCTCCTTGCTCACCAATCACTTGTAATGGTTTATTCTCTTCCTCCAGATGCTGGACATCCCACGAGTGCTGGACAAGTTGAGGCAGCAGAGAATGATGATGGTGCAGACTCTTTCACAGTACACTTTCGTCTATGGAGTTCTCATTCAGTTTCTCAAAAGTTCCAGACTTATTTAATCCCTGCCGCTTCCTGAGGGACCCTGCAAGAGTTTACAGAAAGAAAATCACAGTTGTCCAGGCAGATCTGCTCTCACTGGTGTTTTCTTCATACGATGAATCACACAGTTACCGTTCAGGGCTGGTATGTGACTGTTAAATGAGAGTCATTGTAACAGTCCCTGCAAAGCAGCATCTTCACTGGACTCAATTCTTCCCATGTTCAGCTGCAGTCGAATTAAGGGAATGATTTTACTTGTATTGGTCTGTAGTACTTGCATACGTTCTTTGGGGTGGTGTTACTCTGGGCAAAATAAGTATCTTATGGAATGGAAGTATATGGCACAATTTTACTAACATTATGTTGTAAAGCATAATTGTTAACTGTGCAAAAGCTAAAAACTCTTGGTGCACGTGGGGTGAGAAACCTGCTCCTTGGGAATGTAGAGGTCTCAGGCAGTTTTGTTCTGCTTTCAATTTTATACTTAGAACAATACATCTATATTTTTTAAAATGAACTTTTGGTTTCCTCTGGTTTACTCAGCAAAATTAGCAGCTCTTAGATGTTTTAAGCTGTTGCTTTAAGGACGGTTATTTTTATATTCATTTTTAATTAAAACAACCCAAAACACCAAACCCCAAAATTTTTTAAACAGCATAATGTTTTCAGAGAAGACTGACAATTTTTGAATTATTCAAAAACCATGCAGAAAGTACTAGGGGAAGCTGTTGGTAGTTAGTTGCAGTGCTGTGTAAAGGAACTGACAAGTGAAAGGTGATGTTAACTGCTGATAACTTCCAGTTGGGCGGAGGCAGGAGGAAAATATTCTAATTATTTACAAGGTTCTTGGAAACAAATGGATGAGAGAAAGTACATATTCAGTATTATTCATATATTTAGAGGACAGTTTGATTTTACTGGCTGAAATCAAAGTGGATGCAAATGTTTTAAGCACTTTTTTTTTTGCTCTGTTATTTATGTAGTTAAACATAGAAGCTATAATCATGCATTGTTTCATATAGTAATATGCCATTACTAACCTGTTATTTTAGGAAGAGCCTTTTAAGTTGATGAAGTGAGAGAACCAAAATTGGAGTGAGAAGGTGCATAGTGGCAAAGCGGAAATGATGGTATGAAACATAATGGAGGAGTGTGGCAGCTATGATTGCTGGTTTACACAGTGAAAAGGTGACCATTAAATATGTCTCTGTTCCCAGTGAAGAAAGCCTTCGAACCACTGGAAGTCTCTGTAGAATCCTTCAGATTATTTTGTCAGTACTAGAACAGATTTGGTTAATGCCATGCAGCGTTGCAATGAAGAATATCCCTAGAAGCTGTTTGAGAGAACACCTGCAGAATGTCAAAGCTCTTAGAGGTGACACTGGAGCTGTGGGTATGTTTGTAGCTGTGTGGGTGGCTGTGGCATGGAGGGGAAGATGTGTCCTACCTTTCCTAGTTTCCATTTTGGCCCCTGGGTCTGGTCTAATGACAGTATCCCTAAATAATCCTCCGTCTGTGGTTTTCAAATGGGGACAGTGTGGTTTTACCTGCCTTTACAAGTGGTGTGAGATGCTGAGTTGAAAATCCCTATTCAAAAGCAAGCTGTTAGTGTCTAGATCTCCAGTTTAATTTCAAGAAGACCCTATGGTAGACCAGTCTGCAGGCCTGTTTTTAAGTGCCCATTTCCCTTGACACCTGCTTACCAAAATCAAATGAGACTGAAAGTCATTTTTATCACAGGTGAAATATCTCATTTATTTTTTTTTTTTGAGCTGTAAGAAGGGTTTGGAAGCTACTATGGATAATTTAAGCCCCTTCAAAACAATAATCGTCTCCCAAAACATTAATTAAGAATAATAAATAGGTTGCCTCAATTTCCTCCACTTCCACAAAAAAAACCCTCGTGGTCCAAATGATGATGTGCGAATATGTCATTCTGTGCAAAATGTATTACTTGAAAGTACACTGTATTAATCTACTGCATTTGCTCTGGTTTCACACCAAATCGTGAAATGTGAAATGCTAGGAAATGTTAACTGCCAGATGTAAACAACAATTTGACACATCTGTGTCAGCAGAGGTACTGACAGAAACAAACATATTCTTAGCTATTTGTATCTGCTGGGTTTTGAAAACGTGCCTATTTTTTGCCACCGTTCACATTTATCTTCAGCAATAATTTTGAATGGGAAAGTAGGCTCTAAAATGCAGTTTGTAGCATTTCCATTTCTGACCTTTGTACTGTGATCTTCATAACCTGACACGAGCAGCTTTTAAAGAATTTAGATACAAACACAACTTCAAGCAACAGTTTTTAGCTGTCCATCAGTTACCGGGACGGAACGTCAGCTGTGAAGCAATTTAATCCAAAATGTATGGTGTTATTTGAGGTGGGTGAGGAAATTTGTGTCTTGGCTTTCTTTTCTGTTTTGCTGAAAGAAGCTGTGTTCACTTTGAGGCGGTTGCTCTCTAATCTGGTAGTCACAGTCTAGATTTATTTTTTTAAGCATAACATTGCTACCTCCTCCACTTCAGCTTTCAGTTCTGTCCATCAGCGGTCTGTTTTTGCATTAATGACTTGACCTTAATCGTCCTGACTTTCTGTGAGTTTTCCCTCTGAAGACAGCAGGGTTGATTTGTGTGGAACTCTGTGGCTCCAAGTCAGCATTGAAAAGGAGCAGTTTCTCTTCTAAAGATACCAAATGAAAACAAACTTCACAACATCCTGTAACAAAATTAATTTTAAAAACCATTGTTTAGATTTTCAGTTAACTTTTAAAAGAAAATTCAGTTTTTAGCACTTTGTTCTTAGCCTTGAAAAGGGATTCTTTTTTTACCTGTAGTTGCGCTCAGTGCTTCTCGAAGTGTTGGACATTATAAGAACATCCACTGTCCAAATCCAGCCACAGTGGGAGTCGGAGGTGAATTTATTTGTCAAAAGCTTAAAATTCCACGGTAAGCCTGTCCATTTTGCCAAATGTGCTTCTGTTTTTATGGGGATAAAACCAGATTATTATGCAAGATCTGAACTGGCTTTTTTTAGTAAGAAAAGTTGCGTGAAGACATCCTTGCAGTAAATGGCAAAGATGATGCTGATCTCTAGGGATACCAGAGCTCTCAGGGATACATAAAGGTGCTATATACTGTCAAGAGACAGGTTTGACTGTCTTTTGTGGGCGAGGTGGAAAATGCTTTTTAGAATCAAATTCTATGAAGAGTCAGGAGAAGAACCTAGAAGGTGTAGTAGGGGCTTCTGCACATTTGATTTCTGTCTTGGTTGCTCTAATGAGAGATTTTTTGTAGTCTCAGGCAAGTAGCTCTTCTCTAGGAGCATAAATCAGAGCCCTGTTCTGTGGTGGAGAAGCTGTGGCACAGAGGGGAGTTTTGCTCAGCTTTCCTGCAGCCTGCACAGGAGAGCTTTCCCTTTTCTGCTGTCCCCCATGAAAAGCAGGAAGAGTTTTATGCCTTCATATTGCTCAGACTTTTGCACAAGTGCGGGGTGCTACGGTTTTTCTCTAGAAATACTTTTAATTCAAAGCAGGTGAGCCACGGCAGAGTTCCTATAGTTTCTTGGGATGAAAAGCTGCTCTGACTTACCATCAACATTTAGAAAAAAAAGTAGAGCAATAACAGATAAATTTAAACTAAATGTGTACTAAAATGGAAAAAAAATCTTGGCATTTTGAGAAATGTATTTCTGGCTTCTCTTGTAATGCTGTGTATCTTTTTTTTTTTTTTGAAGTGGATGACATTTGGAGCAGTTTTCTCCAAAAATATCTTCTTAAATTTAATAAGTAAGACTACCTGAGGCTGCTGCTACATTGTCCCTGTTGGAGCAGCTGTTAGAGTTGAGCAGCTCATGCATAGATTTCAATGGCCTCTGGACCAAACTTGGGAACTGCAGGGTTTGTTATCATACAAGCTGGCTGTGTAACTAGACCTCATTTTTAATATCAGAAAACCCTGGACTTAAAGATAGCAAACTCCTTACTAGAATTCAGTAGTTAGTTCAAATTACTAATTTAAAAGAAACAACACTTCCATTGTTAAGAACTCTGTGCTTTAGGGTCTGGTTTTGTGGTTTTTTCAGTACTGCAGTGTCACGCAAAGCCAGAGTCCAGTTCTCCAAGATACAGAATTCCTGCACTTCTTCCTGATATTGTAGGAATTAAATGGGCTTATTGCCAATGAAAGCTTGAGCCCTTAAAGCATGAATACTCACATGTCTGCTTTAAATTTAAATACAGATTACAAGAATTAACCAAAAGAATGCAGCAGGAATGTGCACACATGGAGCTACAGCATTCAAAGGAGAAGTAGCTGAGATAGTTCGAAAGAAATTCTCTTGTGAAAGGACAAAATGTTGGAAGTGGAGAGTGAGGATTTGAGGAATGGCTGAAGGCATTTGGAGGAGGATTTGGAACATTTTGTATCCACAGTAGAGCTGCTAGAAGGGCTTGATTCATATGGTATGTTTTTCATGGCGTGGTAGGGTAAGTGAGTATGTAGTCATAGGTGTTATTTTTACTGGCATTTTAAAATGTGATTTTTTGAAACTCCAAATATTTTTTTTTTCAGAGGCTCTGTTATTTTTACATATCCTTTCCAAATGTATTTAATGCAATCTGTCAGCTCAGTCTCTGTTTACTTATTAAAGGTCAGAGTTTTAAAAGCACGGTCTCTGGTTTGACACATGCGAAGTGCAGGGGAATAGGCAGAGGTGCAGTTTTGTAGTGAAAATTTCGAGTGGATGCAGGTGAGATGATTTGAAAGTCTAAATACTTTGTGAATGCAGCCAGTTTACAGTAGGTGTGAATTGCACCAGGTTAAGGCTGGGCTGAAATTTAGGCCCTTGAAATGTGGAATTTAACACGTGCTCGAAGTTACATTGCAGCACAGTGTTTGCAATACAGTGGTATTAAAATAATACTGTACTGTGATGGGGTAAGAGAAAAATCTTGAACTTCAAACAGCTGTTGCAAATGTGTGTAAAAAAAAAAATAAATTAAAAACCAATAAATATTTCTTAGTAAGATCCCGTTGGGGACCAGCTAATTTGGTGCATTCTGTTGGCATCACATATGTTCCTTTAAGGTCTATGGGGGCTGAACAAAAAAAAAGGATTTGTTAACTTCAATGAACATTTCAAAAAACAGTTGCTAAATGGCCTTTGGTTCTGTTCTCTGCAATTTTCCACATGATGCTGCGTTCAGTGGTGGAGAATAACCTCCAGTGTATTTGTTCTTTGGAAGACTATTGTTCAGCTCTAATTAGGGAACGAAGATAGAAATCAAATGCAAAGAATCTAATGAATAGTTTCCAATAGATCCAGCCTGGGGCAAGTGAGAGGGCAAGGCTGTAGATAACATAAAGTTATTTTGGATCAGATACATGGCAATCCGAACTACCAAATTCTTAATTTTATGAGCACAGTTTCAGAAGGTGCCTGACTTTTATAAAGGGAATTTAAATGCTGTTTTTCCATTTGGAAATATTTAGGTAAAATACGGAGGCTCTTAAAATACTTTAAAGACTTTGCAAATGCCATTGATTTTTAGAATGGTGGGAAACTTGATGAGGAAAACCCATGTAAAATCCTCCAGTGTGTCAGACTGGCGGGTGTGCTCTTTGCAAAGATAACTTTCTTAAATGGCTTTGATATCCCCAAGGTCTCTCTCCTCTGTATGGCTGGTCTGGGGGGACTCGGATGGAAATTTGGGAGGCTTGACCTGGCAAATGAGTGAGTGTGTCACCTCCTGCACATTGCTGAAATCTCTTCCTTCAGTTAGAGCCAGTGGGCGTTTGGAGTCCTTTCAGCAGTTTTGTAGGATTGAGTCCTTCATGTCAGAGGAACGCAGGGTCTGGCTTCGTTTTCGTTTGAGCCAGTTTGCAAGGATTTAAATGGGACTTTGATTAAACAGTAGCAAACGTGAAGTATTATTTTCTAGTACTAAGCTAGTGGTTAACATGTCTATTTTTGCTGTCTTGCCACCAATACTGTAAAAATGTATAATCAAAGCAGCTTTAATTCTTGTAAAACTGAAATTGGTTTGTAAAACAATGTACAAATTGTGTTTCATAGACAGAAAAGCTTGTATTACTGAATGTAATATATGTGAAATGAATATATTATAGTCTATTTTTGCCATGGAAATAAATATTTGAAGCAACTGTGAGGTTTTTGTTCCATTATTAAAAGAAAAGCAATGAACGTAGTTTTCATGTGTAGTCCTAGGCTGAGACTTTACCCTCTGTACACAAAGGGGCAATTCCTGTTCTGAAGCACTGCAGGTACTGTCCTGAATCTCAGTATGAAGACAAAACTTTTGCTGTCAAATACCAATAGCTGTCATCTTTGTGGCAGGAAAGTCTTGCCCCTGCTGCCCCATCATTTTGTTTACAATGTTTTGCATTTTCTGAAGCTACTTTTGTGATTGAACATTCAGTTCTCCCTTTAACCTTTAAGTGGAGGAGGGATGAAAAGATTTTGAAAGTTGAAAAACACTTTCCAAAAGCATGTGAGAGAGGAAAGAGTTGGTTGTAGACTTACTTCTTATAGTTGGAGCTTTTAACTAAAATTTGTCTTCTAGGTATGCTCAATTTGATGGCGTTGATCAGCTTAAGGTAAGATAGTGACAGACCAGCTGTCTGTGTACTTCTCTGATCAGTTCCCAAACCCCAGGGAATGTCCTGTGCGGTGTTCAGTGTGGGCAAAGCTTTCTTATCTGATATGGGTTCAAAATCAGAAGAGGGAAATGTGATTCTTGGGATCCTAAGCACGTGGTAAAACCACCCAGCAGTTCGATCAGACTTCTTACTTATACTGGTTTTAGACCTGGGGCAAAGGTCTTGTCAGAAACCTAAATTTCACCTAAACCTAAATCAGTCTAAACTGTAGCTGTTTTTTTCCAGCCACTGTGAAATCCCTCTTAGAGCCTTCTGGTGGCCAGAGCTGGCTGATGGAGAAGAGGCTTGAGTTCTGGATTTGGCACAGCCAGCCAGCAGCTTTCTTGGGCAAGAGCTCCAGGACTTCCTACAAGAGAAACCTGGGGGAGCTGATGAGAGAGGCTCCTCACCTAGTAATTTTTTTTGTATTTTATGCCCATTCCTTTTCCCCCTGGAGTCCATGGCAGCATATAAATGTGTGTTCTTTCTCTCTCCATTGTCTTTATGAGCATCCCCTGAAAGGCTGGACTCTGCGTGAAGACAGAAGGTGCCCAGTGCCACAGAGAAATGACAGCATATAAATGTGTGTTCTCTCTCTCTCCACTGTCTTTATGAGCATCCCCTGTGAAAGGCTGGACTCCGCGTGAAGACAGAAGGTGCCCAGTGCCACAGAGATGTTGCCAGTTTCCCTCCTGCAGCCCAAGAACTGCTGGTGGATGATCACAGTCTGCGAGTATGATGGGAACATCACTTATCCAGGTGCTGACAGGAGAATGGTGTTGCAGGAGGTGGGTGAGGACGGGGTGATGGGTGAATGCTCCTCAGAGCTGAACTTCATGAGTTCCTCGGTATCTCTGTGTATCCCCTTGGCTCAGTCTGGCTCTTGGGCAAGTTCAACCTTCTGCCACTGGCACTTGTGTTTGAGTGATGACACTTGTGTGGCTCCAGTGGAACATAACTCTTAGGGGAATGGTGGTTCTGATACTTACGAGCTAGTTCTGTTATTACAATTGCTTTAAACTGGTCTCATTAATTCAAAGAAAGACCAAGCGTAAGTAGGCAATGGGTGAGCCTAGGACTATTTTACCACAAAACAGCTTTATCTTTGAGGTGCTCAGGGTTGAAGGCACTTAACATTCGATTTCATGGTGTTTTGGGGGAGCTTTTCTGAAGCAAGGACTTCAGGGCACATGCGTGTTCTCGGGCTCTCTGCTTACACAACATAGATGTGGGAGTTAGAAATGGTAGAGCTTAGAAAAATTCCATCCCATTTCTGATCAGTCACCACATCTCCCAAACAGATCTGCAGGACAATCTTTCAGATGCCACCGAACTTTAAACCAAACACCTGCCATACCCAACATATCAAACCCGCTGCTCAGGGTTGAAGGCACTTAACATTCGATTTCATGGTGTTTTGGGGGAGCTTTTCTGAAGCAAGGACTTCAGGGCACATGCGTGTTCTCGGGCTCTCTGCTTACACAACATAGATGTGGGAGTTAGAAATGGTAGAGCTTAGAAAAATTCCATCCCATTTCTGATCAGTCACCACATCTCCCAAACAGATCTGCAGGACAATCTTTCAGATGCCACCGAACTTTAAACCAAACACCTGCCATACCCAACATATCAAACCCGTATTTTTTGCTGCCCTGCTTATTCTATGGATTTGAAATATCTGCTGTAATAAACCAAACAACCAGAAAAGACTTTGGAGGGCTCGCAGATGAGGTTCAGATTATTGTTATTATGTGTTCTCGGGCTCTCTGCTTACACAACATAGATGTGGGAGTTAGAAATGGTAGAGCTTAGAAAAATTCCATCCCATTTCTGATCAGTCACCACATCTCCCAAACAGATCTGCAGGACAATCTTTCAGATGCCACCGAACTTTAAACCAAACACCTGCCATACCCAACATATCAAACCGGTATTTTTTGCTGCCCTGCTTATTCTATGGATTTGAAATATCTGCTGTAATAAACCAACCAACCCGAAAAGCCTTTGGAGGGTTCGCAGATGAGGTTCAGATTATTGTTATTATTAACCATTTCTAAAATGACAATCATGTGCCTTACGTAAGGTTAGAAGGACATCAAATCCTTCCACGAACAGACCCTGAATTATCATACCCAGAGGCGAATGAAGAATTTTCAGTGGTGTTGAGTACCTCTGGAGAAAGCCCCTGTCAAGCCCAGCTAATACTGATAATCAGTGGTCTGAAGGAACCGCATGCTTTGTGCATGTGGCTGTATCTGATTTCTTCTGCCTGCTGCATGCTCTGCTAGTCACGACTGATTTGAAGCTGAAAATGCCCTTCCATTGACAAAATCTTTAGCAAAAGCCTTCGGGACATTAGAAAATAGTTTGGTTTTGGTTTGATAATGTGGAAGATATTATTTGAGCAGATTTGTCAGCGTTTATTGAGTTTCCTGCACCACGGCAGTATAGGAATAAATTCCTTTGTTCTGAACTGAGTGTCTCTGAGCATCCAGAAATAGCAAGTGCTCGCTCTATATTTCAAAAATTTGTCTCCTGAAGACCAGGCACGACCAATTGAAGCTGAAAATGCCCTTCCATTGACAAAATCTTTAGCAAAAGCCTTCAGGACATTAGAAAATAGTTTGGGTTTAGTTTGATAATGTGGAAGATATTATTTTAGCAGATTTGTCAGCGTTTATTGAGTTTCCTGCACCACAGCAGTATAGGAATAAATTCCTTTGTTCTGAACTGAGTGTCTCTGAGCATCCAGAAATAGCAAGTGCTCACTCTATATTTCAAAAATTTGTCTCCTGAAGACCAGGAGCTGCAGGTCTCTCTCACTTTAAATTCCATTGGTCACCAAGTGTTTATTTCTCTCCCTGAGTTAGGAGAAGCAATTTAATATGAAACTATAAATCTTAGGGAATTGCCTCAATTTTCCTTTTTAAGCCATCCTTTAACTGACACACTAAAAATATGACATTATTTTTATTTCCCAATTCTTGTAGTCCTGAAAGCTATTTTGCAGTGGCAGGCCAGCTATAATAATCAGTAAATCTGATTAGATTTTCTTTGGGGGTGACTTCTGGCTTGAAAAGGAGATGTGTATAGACAAGAACCAAGTCTATCAAAACTTGGGGGTTCCATTCAGTTCCTGACCAACAGCTCCAGAGCAATGAGGTAGAAAAGCACACACAACACAGGCTCAGCCGGAGAGAGTTGGCTGCTGATCCCACTTGTGATGGTGAAATATCCCCCTGGGACACTGGGCCCAAGGACTTGTTCCTCCCAGGGTGCTGGGAGGAGATCCTTTCTCCCTCTGTCCTGCTGAATGGCTCTTTCAGCCTTTCCCTAAAATGATCCCTTCTGTAGATGCTCTCTGACTCTTGCTCAAGTCCACGGGTTCCTGTAGCCTGTGCTCATCTGTTTTCTCCTTCATAAGGGGAGGGGAAACACTGTGCTATGCCACTAGTCAGGGTCCAAGTGTAATTAGTAAAGAGGAGGAAAGTGCAATTCTTCACCAAAAATAGAAACAAATGTAGCTGGTTGATGGAAGATTTGTCATCTTCTCAAGTTCTTCATAAGTTTTAAAGGGTGGAAGGAGCTGTTCCATGACCACCTCAATCAGAATCAGCAGTAGGAATGCAAACAACAAGTATTAGATATGGTAGCCTTGATGCACTATGGAAAAAAACCAGTCTACCTAAGATGAGGAGCATTGTTGAGGGTGTGCAATCCCTGTAGGCAGAGCAGTTTTGATTTAGTGCCCTGGTGTTAGTTAGGAGGGGTTCCAAGGGGAGTTACACACTTTCAGTGCATTTATGCCATTGAGGTGGAAACAAAATGCTCCATTTGAGCCTGTTTTCAGGACAGGTCAGCGTTATCACTCTGCACAATGGTCGGGTTGACATAGAGCTTAGTGACATGGTCTAGTGATGGTTTCTTACCAGGGTTAGGTTGATGGTTGGACTACATGATCTTAAAAGTCCCTTCCAACCTGGACAATTCTATGATTCTATGACAAATAAGCAGAACTGAGGCTGATTTACATTCTCTGTTGAAAGAGACCAGAAATGCTGCACTAAAACTACAGCCTGAATTGTCCTGATACCTGTGATGTTACCTTCGGCCGTGAGCTGAACATCCCATTCCTCACCTGCCCCGTCGCTTTGTTACCGGAGTGTGCCTGAGACTGTGTCATGGTGCTTTATGGCAGGGGTGTCCTCTCACCTATCAGTGGCTTCTGCAGGTCAAGGACTAGACAGCAAGAAGCTGGTTGTGCCCAGGAACCCTTTGCAGAGATCTGATTGCACCATGAGGTGAACTGAACGGAGGCTCTGAGAAGCTCAAGTATTGAGGACCAGCCATGGAGAAAACACACACTATGGAAGGCTACAGTGAAAACACACAGGGGCTTTCAGCTTAAACATAGGTAAGGCTTAAGACTTCCAAGGTGGGATGGGAGGACTCACCATGCAAGTTTGTTTCTGGGGCAGGAGCAACCGAGCTGAGAGCTCGAGGAGCTCTTCTGTCTTTCTCTGGCAATCCACTGTTATCTGAGATGGTTGTTCCCAGCATTTGGGAAGCCTCATAGCCAGCTCCCAAACCCACACTATCCGTATCATCTCTGGTCTTGCTTGTGTCAAACGTCAGGAAAAAGCAGGGTGCCAGATGCCTCTGAGCTGGATTTCTGGTTGGAGAGGCTCCACCTCCGAGGTCCTGCAAGGAATTCTCAGGCTGACAGGAGAGCTGATGGCCTTTGACACGTCGCTCCGCTTCTGGTTTGGCATGCGAGCGTGCTGATGGGCCAGAGAAACAGATAGCTGGGAAGGGCTGGGGTCACCTCCTAGTCCTGTTACTCATCTCCTGGAGGCTGTGGCTGCTGTGAGCTGCGAGGCACGCTGCTGCCCTCGCCCACATACTGTAAGGGGAGTCCTAGGGGCTCACTGCATTCTTGGGATACCTGCGGAGAGCTCTGCGCCTCGTGCTGCGGATCACGCTGCCCGTCCTCGCTGAGGAAGGGACGGCGTAGCCCTGTGGCCTGCCAGGCTGAGGCCCTCTTCGAGTTTCTCTCTCTCTCTCAAGTTTCATGTGCCTCCCTACTCCATTTATGTAGCCTTTACTTGTCCTTCTCAAGGTCTAATTTCATTCCCCCGGTGCGGTCGGACTGGGTGGGACTTGGGGAGGAGATGGTGTGTGCCGAAGCCTGGGATCTAGGGGAGCAGGGAGGGCCCCGTGGGGATGGGTGTTTGGCACCTCTGGCCTTCCTGCAGCCCAAAAACATGGTGCTGGATTGGGACCCCACACCTTTTTCAGGCCAGTCTCACAATTTAAAAGATGAATGCGAATGTAGCTTTTGTATGTTGTCACCTGGGTGTGGGGGACACTGGAACAGACATTGGAATGGGCTGCCCAGGGAGGTGGTTGAGGCACCATCCCTGGAGGTGTTCAAAAGATGGGTTGATGAAGTGCTGGGAGGGATGGTTTAGTGATGATGCTCCTTGTTTGTTGTGTGGGTGTCTATTTTTGTCAGTTAGGTTGACGGTTGGACAAGATGATCTTTAAGGTCCCTTCCAACCTAGAAGATTCTGTGATTCTGTGACACACTTCTCTGGCTGCTGGCATTAGCTTAGTGGATGAGCTAAAAGGATTGGTCCTTTTAGGAGACCTGAAGAGGGAGCCCGGCTTCTCTGGAGGCTTTCTGCAGAGAACAGTGTCACAGCACTCTCAGTTTTAGTTCCCTTCATTTGAGATAACTCTTCTTGTTGCTGCTTGTGGACTGCCTGATGTCCTAGAGTTCCTCCTATGTTTTCCTGAAGGTGGTTGAGCTGCGGGTGCTCTGCAGGGCAGCTGATGATTTGTCACGCCAGCGATAGCTGCTGATTCTTCTTTCCCTTCCCAGGGATGCTTTATCCCTGTGACATGCTCAGCTTCTGCTGGCCCACGACCTGCCTCAGGCTTTGAAATGGAATCCCTTGACTGGTGGTGCCCCAGGCTGGTGCAGTGGATTAATTCACCGCTCACCTGTTTGCATGTCGCTGGCTTTGCTGCTTGGAATAGAAACCGAAGGTGGTTGTTTCTGAATGAAGAGGGTTTCACTATGCATAAAGGAAGGAGGAAGGTTGGGCTGCTGGCGGGCATCTGTTCAGTTGTTTTGGAGGGTGAGAAGTTGTTTTTATTTAAACAACTGGTTCTGTTCCTTGTAACCCGTGTTCATACCAGATGTTAGCTCCTGAGTCATGAGAACAGGGGGTGAAGTGCCTGGGAAGTGCCAGAGAGAAAGGGCTGGGCTCCCCAGTCCCAGAAGGACAGGGAACTGCTGGAGAGGGTACAGCAAAGGGCCACAAAGATGAGTAAGGGCCTGGAGCATCTCTCCTACAAGGAGAGGCTGAGGGACTTGGGTATTTTTAGTCTAGAGAAGAGAAGGCTGAGGGGAGATCTAATTAATGTGTACAAATACTTAAAGGGAGGGTGTCAGGAGGATGGGGCTGGTCTTTTCTCAGTGGTGCTCAGTGACAGGACAAGAGGAAATGGGCACAAATTTGAGTATAAGAAGTTCCACCTAAACATGAGGAGGAACTTCTTTATTGTGAGAGTGGTAGAGCCCTGGAACAGGCTGCCCAGGGAGGTGGTGGAGTCTCCTTCTCTGGAGACAATCAAAACCCACCTGGACATGTTCCTGTGCAACCTGCTCTGGGTAGACCCCCTCTGTCAGGGGGGTTGGACTAGATGATCTCCAGAGGTCCCTTCCAACCCCATATGATTCTATGAAAGGTTTGGTGCCTCTGGGGACATCCTGCATTGGCAGTTCCCTGTGCTGGGCAGCCTGTGCTCCTGCCTTGGGTGGCCAAAAAGCTACAGTGGGATGCTGGAGTTTCCCGTAGCTCCCTGAAGTACACCCCAAGTTACAGTTTTGTGGGTTTCCCCCTTTCCATTAATTTTTAGGTCTCAAATACTCAAATACAAATGCTACAAAGGTGGAAAAATTGTGGGAGCTCTAAAATATCTTTTGATCTTCCCTCAGTTTGTGGCCCAGCGATGCTGCCTTTTGCTGGTGCTGAAGGCTGTGGGTTGGGCGTGCTGGTTAGGAGCTGTGCTCTCACTGCGTCAAAACACTCTGCATTAGGTGCTACAAATGAAATTCCTGGACCTCATTTGTATTTATGTTGAGGCTTCAGTGCTCTTGTTCATTCTCCTCGCACAGATCATTGCTGAGAAAAAAAGTAGCCCCCTTTTTTCCCCCCTGTCTGATGGAGTCATTTCTGCTTGAATTAGGGAATGTTATCAGTTGAGCTGCATCCTTCTACAGCTACTCTTGTGTGGCTATAGATGGTGCGCTGAGAAAAAAAGTAGCCCCCTTTTTCCCCCCTGTCTGATGGAGCCATTTCTGCTTGAATTAGGGAACGTTACCAGTTGAGCTGCATCGTTCTACAGCTACTCTTGTGTGGCTATAGATGGTGTGAAAATGTACAGAGACACAGAGAAACAGGACCCTGGAGTCATTCTGCAGGTAAGTGAAAGATGTGTAGTTGTCTTAGACACAGGGTCAATCAGGGATAAATGACAGCTTGTGTTTTGCCTGCGGGGTTTTGTTTTGTGGGCAGCCCTAAGACATCCAAGCACCTTTTTCTTTCATCACGTTAATCTTTACTTCACGTGACCAAAAGCCCCACTTTGCTTTGTAAATAAACAGAATCCTACCTGTGAAAACAAGAGCAGTGATGGCAAAACTGTAGCTTTAAAGAGAAGAGACTGGTTTGTTAGAGAGCAAAGTAGCAACAGCTGCCTTTTGTCTCCTTTGAAGGAGACACTGCTGCTGTTATGACACGTGTGCTCGTTGCCTCCATAAATCGGGCAGAAATAAGCCTTTCCATTGCAGATCACAGCTGCTGACTGCTCCAGAGACTGGGACTTCTGAAGCACCTGGATTTGTGATGGTGTCATAACTACCTTGTTCTGCTGTTGCTTGTGCTGAGACCCGAGTATGTCACCAAGTAAAAGGTGAAACAAAACCCAACCACCGAACCCCAAACCAAAAAACCTCTCAGGAACAACCCCGGAGCTCTCACCGTTGATTAATGTCATCAGTGCTGTGGGTCAGGCTTGTGTAGCAGCTGCTTAAACAACTGCTGTTTGAGCCACCACCTTAAGGTAAATGTGAATAAAAGGGAGAAAGTTTTAAGCCCTGGATAAGCCTGAATTTGCTTTTGGGTCTTTATCTCTCTCTCCAACTCCCGGAAAGGAGGGTGTATAGAGGCGGGGGTCGGTCTCTTCTCCCATCGCCTGTGACTTGGGAGAAGAGGAAATGGCCTCAAGTTGCACCAGGGGAGGTTCAGATTGGATATTAGGAAAAATTTTTATGGTGAAAGGGTTATTAAGCCTTGGAATGGGCTGCCCAGGGAAGGGGTTGAGGCACCATCCCTGGAGGTGTTCAAAAGACGGGCTGACATAGTGCTTAGTGACGTGTGTTAGTGATGGGTTCTTATCAGAGTTAGGATGGTGGTTGGACTAGATGATCTTAACGGTCCCTTCCAACCTAGACAATTCTATGATTCTGTGGTCTGTAGATAAACTGATTGATTTTTTTTATATAGATAATGTTTCTCTGGAATGTTCTTCCCCCAGTAGCTGGTGGGGAGTGGCTGTTCAATGAGAACTGAGTGCTCCAGCTGGTGGGATACTGGAGCGTGGGATCTTCTGGTTCTTTCCCACTCTGGGTCCAAGAAATGTTCACATGGTTCAAGCAGGCGGACGTGTTCGTTGTGAAAGGTTGGCTTTAATGAGAGCACTTACTCTTTTTAGTTCCATCTACCCACAAAAAATGTCCTTGACGTTCAGACAGCTCATCAACAGCAAATATGGTCAAGGAACTGGTTTTGTCTATTTTGGTGTTACTCATACTACAGGAAATGAGTGTGTCGTTATTTGCACCTTTCTGAGGTGATGTCATGCCCACTTTCACTGCTGGGGTGGTTAGGTGGTTTTATTTGTGGTATTTAAATGTGAAATTCTTATTAATCTTTAATCAGACTCATGTTGACCACGAGCCAAAGTTCGCTGAGTGTTATTTTTTTATGACGTGCAAGTGGAGTGATAGGGAGGGGGAAAACCCCCCTAAATTCCATTATTGACCCAGGTTGGAGAACTCAGGCCCCAGGAGTGGGTGAAGTCCTGGCTGAGGAGCAAACAGGTTGTTTCCTAACCAGTCCCTCTGTGGTGAAATTACTCATCCCACAGAAACAACAGTTCCCTTGATGCCTCCTGCCCTGCAGTTCTGTGGGGTCAGGAACAGAGGTGGCATTTCCTTGGGGAGGAGAAGGGCTTTGATCACGTGTGATGGAGGCCTTCTCAACGAGCCAGGCTCTGACAGAGGGATGTAAGGTCCTCACATTATCTTACCCACTCCTCAGCGAGCCAGAGCCCTGGACCTGCAGCCGGATTCAGGAGGCAGTGGGAGATGAACAGCAAGTGCCCCTGGCCCAGCCGCGTGGACACGGCGAAAATAAACCCTCCTCTGCTGTCACGGGCAATGGGTGTTATTGATTATGGTGGCCAAGGCAGCCAGGAAAGTGCCTTTTGCTTTTTTGGGGAATTATCTTCTCTCCTGCAGCGCAGTGCCAGAAATGTCCCTTCTGTTTGATTGGCCTTCTTGAGATGATTTTTTGAGATTTCTTTTTTTTTTTTTTCCTCCCCCCCAAAAAGTTTATGCTTCAGAAGTGAGCAGTGGCCTATGAGTATTTGTGGAAGACTCTGTTTGCCTTTGATCCCAATCCAGGCATTTCTGAATTCAGTACTGGATTCCAGTTCCCATCCATCACCAATTCCCATCTGGAATTTTCCCAGTGCCTGCTGGGGACGTGACCATCATCCTGGGAGCTCAATACTGGTTTTTATTTATTGTGTATATATGTATATTATTTTCTTTTTAAAAAAATATTATTATATTTTCCTTTAATTATTAATATTTCATTAAAGTAGTTTTAGTTTTCTTTCCAGCCCATAAGTCTCTCCCTTATTCTCTCTTCCTTCTCTTCTAGGAAGGCAAAAAGGTTAAAGAGAGCATCTGTCATTGATTTTGTGGCCATCCCAGCCCAAACCAGGACAAATTGTAACCACTTGGGTTTCTCCTCAGAGGAAGTAGATTAAGACCAGCCCTAAGAAGTATTTGGGGACAGGGTTTGTCTGGTTCCTGAGGCTTCTCACAGTTCCTCATCTGCAGCAAGAGAACTGAGCTCCTTCTGCAGTAACGCGGGTGCCAGGTACCAGCTGTACTGATTACACACAGAAATTGGGGCTGATTTTGTGCAACAGCTCAAGAGCTGGGTATAAAACAAACAAATGAGCTGTGTTTTGAACAGCTCAAGAGCTGCCACATGCAGCAGCTGGAGATCAATGTCCTTGTCGGGCAGGGAAGTTGGCAGGAGGTTACCAAAAGATCCTTATTTTCGGCAAGTTACCCGTCCACACTCATTCCTTATTCCACCCAAGGTAATGCATGGAAAAGGTTTGTTTCTTATGTTCTACAGGCATTGTAAAAGCCAAAAAACCCAACTGATTAGAAGAACTTCCTGCCTCGATGGGATTGAACATCAAAAAATGGACTGAACACTAAGAAAGGAAAAAAATGTTGCCTTCTTCCAGGATGGACAAACAGTTCCATCCCCACTCTCCAGGTATGGACTATACCACGTTTTGAGATGGATACATTGAATTCTGGCAGGCTAAAAAAAAAATATCTTGGATCTTTATAGCAGGACCACAACTGCACCAGCAATGTGTTACCAATTAATTTATTCAATATAAATAGAAAACAATAAATATTTCATAACATACTATTGCAGCTTTCTAAAAATATACATCTATTTCAATATTCTTAAAAGTCAGTTCTGAGTTATACAAATATAGGCAAAATATACAATATTTGGTAACTGAAATTTTATCCTTTACAATCTACATTACTACAGAGATTAATTAATGCCCAATTAATAATACCCTGCTAGAGAGACTCGAGTAGTGTTTAAACAGAAATAAACTGAAAATAAAACAAATAATTTCCTACTATTTAACGAATGGCAGTTCTCCACAGAACTGCCTCTGGCCCTATTTTACCAGCTGTATTTTGGCTCCTATTATGAATAGTCACGTGAGATCTGAAGGGCCTCTGCAAAGCTTTCTTCAAGGTCATCAAGTTCCCTGTTGGCTTCTGAGTCACTGTCAAAGGTAATCAAGTTTAAAGTTGCTTCACGCGAGGGTGAAGTGTCTGGCTCTTCTTCAGCTTTCACACCAGAGTGAGCCTCTGTCCCTGCATGTGTCATTTGAGTGACACCTTCTAAAAAGTCATCCTCGTTGTGTGTCTCCTTTGAACTTTCCCCGCACGCTGGGGATTCACAATTGCTTGGTTCCTTTAATGGTAATTCCATGGTCTCAAAGAATTCTTCACTTTTTGTAGCTTTTCTTTGCCCCTGACTTGTCCTGGGAAACTCAAGCTCTTCCATTGTGTCAAACTCTTGCAGATCCAGCGAGCCCAAGGTGTCCCAGCCTGGGTGGACTTGCTCCACAGCGCTGCCCGGGCTGCAGCCCAGCTCTGCTTTCAGCACATCCAGCACGTGCCGCATTTTGCCCTAAGGGGATGAAGGAAGAAGAGGATGACACCTCCAGCACCATGACCCCCATCTGCCCAGAATTTGGGGCTTCACTCTGAGGTAAGGAAAGGGAGGCTGCTCACCATGGGGTGACTAAGTTCTACAGCAAGCCTCACCAAACTGAGGTGACTGTTGTCCCTACCTGTGACTCATGGGTCACAGCAGATCAGGAGGCTGCAGATCTCATTTCTAGAGAGCTGCTCCCCACCGAGCAGCCTGGGGAACGCCGCTGAAGGCGGATGCAGAGGGAGACCTACCTCATCCAAACGCTTCTTGTTTTCCTGTATGTGACACTCAAACAGTTCTTCCAGCACTCTACAAAGGAACAATTAAATGACTTTACAGGAAGAAAACCAACTTTTAACAGATCTATATAAATTAATGACCTTAGGTTTTCAGTTTGAAAGGGACCACGAGGATTGTTTCAATGGTGCTGTCTCACCAAGAGGGGTGGCCAGAGTCAGTACCCACCAGACACCAATCTAATGGCTGAAATACCCCAAACCTCTCAGCTGCACCTCTGTGGCTGATAAACACAAGTGTAAATAAAGGGAAGGAATAAAATCCAGCTTCAGAGAAAAGCCTTTAGTTCCAAGAGGTCTCTTCCATTGCTCAAGCAGGATGAGAAAAAAATCTCAGTACAGAGGAAGCTTTCTGGGACAACTGAGGTACACAGTCACTGGAACAATTTCCAGAAGGTAAATGAATTTAATCTAGTTTACATGAGAAATTATTGGGGGAAAAAGAAAATAAATTAGTGCAAAAAGGATTTTAAGGTAAGACACCATTACTGTAAAAAGGAACCAGTGGGGGACTGCTCTTGGAATTTCTCAAAGGTTAAGTTTTAGATTCAGCTGTTTAAACATCCTTGACATGAGGAAAAAAAAACAAAAAACCAAACAAATGAAGAAGAGTGCCCAGAGTAGAAAATCAGGTGGGAACATTATCAGTCCAAAGAAAGATCAGAATTTTATGCTGAAATTAGACTGCCTTGAAAATGGAATTACAAAAATGGGTTAAAATTCTGTATCAGAAATACTGCAGGGTTTTTTTTGCTACAACCAGAGTTCTTTATCAGAAGGAAGTGATATGGAAGATGGGAGCACTACTCAAATACGTTAATTGTATCATAACTTATTGTTTAATTATTGATAAAAAATCTGATGTAGCAACTGATGAACCCTCATCTGAAACAGTATGTCATCCTGACAGCCCGTCTTGAAGACTGAATTCATAGTAAAACAGGAAGAAGGACAGAAGGGAGATGGAGCATCAGTCGTGTGAAAGATTAGTAACTTGGTTTATTATCAAAACAGATGCTGCAGAGTAAAATGATTTCTTCTTAGTGTTCCTCCACCCAGGGCTGCAGGTCATTTTCTAACATGGCACACAGCAGCAGATCAAAGACCCACAGGTCTTTCCTAGCTCTCCTTTCTTACAGAATGCAAAAAAGAAAAGGGAACAACACAAAAGCAAGAGGTAATGGTGTATCTATACTCATAAAGTCAAAGAAATGATTACTGAACACTACTTCCCTTTCTTAGAGTCCATGTGTTCCTGACACAGCATTACAAATTTGAAAACAACCATAACCTACCTGTTAGAAAACAGCCCGAGGCTCAGAATATCATTTGTTACATCCTCAATGAAAGCTAAATATAAAAGCTCTTCTTCTCTGCAGGGAGAATAGAAAACCCAATGTTAAATGTCTTAAAATAGAGACACACATTACACAATGCAGTAGGGGCCAATCACCTTTATGGGAAATGCCATTCAGTTCTTGGCACCAGCTGCTATTTTCCAGAAAGGTAATTCTGTCAGGAAAAATGGAGCCTTTCATTCAATTTGAGTAATAATAGAAAAAACCCTGTGTAAAATATCAGACTGTTAAAAAGGTCACTGTAGTGCTTCGTGTTTATGGTAACTTTCTGTTGTGGTGTAAATTAGCAGAGAGCTCCTGAGTGGGGAAATGGGCCAGTCTGGGAGAGCGTTCAGAACCTGCTTTGCAATCCAGAAGAAAGGGGCACTAACTGGGAAAAAATGTAAAATTGCAGTTTGTTGCTCTGAGTAAAGGCTTCCAAAGGAGCTTCTAGAGAATCTGAGCTCAGCTGAAAATTGTTAGTCCTCAGTGGAAGCTCAGAAAAATGTAAGTGCTTATTTGACAAACTCCATTCCTTTCAAACAACAACTCTTTGATGAAAAAAAATTCCTTCTTAGTGTGAGATGTGGCAGCTTTCAGCTCTTCGATTGAATTTCTCTCTGTTTTAAAACCTCCTAAGGCCTTGTTGATGCCAACTGCTCTCAAGGGGAGACTCTCCAAAAGTTTTGAGTTCTGTTTGGAAAACAACAAGAGAGAAAACCCCCAAAAGAAAATATTTCAGCGCTGCTTCTGTTTCATAGCAACTTCTAAATATTGCAGAGCATTCAGTCAAGCTCTATCAAATCATCCTCCGGTCCTCGTAAACAGAAAGTAAATAATGGGACACATCTTACATGACTTTCATTATGTAAAACTTTTCATCTAGCCTGAAGATTGTAATTTTGGTTCCTTCTATCATCAAGAGAGAAAGATATCTACAGCTGACCTCTGATACCTGTAGCACACCCTTAAAGTTAGGTAAGAACAAGCCTGTCCTAAAGGATAAAGAATTAAACAACTTTCCTAAGGTCCCGTGATAAAGCCTTGGCAGCGTTTCTGAACAGAATACAAACCTCCCCTGACTCTCACCAAAATTCAGAGCAGAAATGTGGTAAGAGCACCCCAAAATTTGATATTTTATCTTGCCAATGTTTGCTTCAGACAGATTACAGACCAAAAAAAAGGAAAATTTAAAGTATAGCCACTGGTTAATAAGAGAAGTCTATCTTTCTTTCAAAGTTATAATGAATTCCCTTCATTTTTTTATTCACGTGGAAATTGTAAAGTATTATACAATTCATAGTCACGTCAATTCTGCTGTAGATGGTGAACAACAATTTATTCTGAGTCCTCACTAACTGTGTCGAGATCATCAGTTTGGAGGAAGGGTTTCCAGTTGCATGTTGCAAAGTAGCAGACAAGCAGTGTAAGTGTACTTACTCGGCCTCCAGAGTCCTCCTGCCTGAAGGCTGCTGAGGATACACCCATGTCTCTCTAAGGAGAAAATTACAGGGTAAGAAAGAGCAAAAAGCAACATTCTAAAAACCCCTCTATATTACCTTGCATCTCCACTTTCTCCTAGAGCCACCTTATGCTGTTATCCCACCTCCTCTTGGAAAAAACCCACCGGAACAACCCCGAACCTGCTCCAGCAGCAAAATCCACTGTTTATGCTGAAGCCTGACAGATTGTGTTTCCAGAGCCTTGTAACACCTCCCTTGATGCAGTGCTCTGATACCTCAGAAATGGCTTCAGATGCTACACAGGCCTCCACTAGCCATAAGAGTGCTCTTCCTCACTCCGAGTACAATGGTTACACAGGTACAAATGCCTTTGTTTGAAAACACCAGAGAGCAAATCAGCAAGTCAAGGATGATGCTCAGGTGGGCAATGAGGAGAACCAGCCGGGAGCCTCTCGCCTGGTTTCCAACACTGCCCTTGTATTGCAGAAAATATTCTAAAATTTAGTGTTACATTTTTAGAAAAAAAGATGTGGGAAATGCCTCTGGTCTGCAATTCTCACAGATCATAGATTGATGAGGCTGGATGCCTGGAGACCCCTTCTCCTGAAAGGAAATGCCAGCTGGAATATCAATCCACTACTTAGTTCTCTCCATCTGAGCTTAAAAACTATACATTTCTTATAAAGCGGTACAACTAAAGCTGTATTCATGTGCCATTGGTCTCGCTCCCGACAAAAATAGTCATATATTTCAGAGTTCCCTTTCTTAATTGGCTTCTCAGTGGAATTTTATAATAAGAAAATAATTAATTTTAAAGATCTGAAAAAAAATAACCAGAAGTCCTGCGAGAAGAGACTCGGTAGTGAAGGCTTATGGCCTAAAAAGCAGCTGTAGAGAAAGCAAGAAGGAATGAATCAAATATTCCTTCCTGCTGTAAATCAGGCACCTCAGGAAGGAGTATGGAAAAGCAGCTCTTTCTCTCTCTGACTCATCCACGGTGTATCTTCTGCCTTCAGCCTGCAACACAGAGATATGAGCTTTATTACTGGTGCAAACACACAGCTAATTTTACTATTAAAATGAACCTAATAACTATCTGTGAATCAGCAGCCCTACAAATTTTACGTCTTTTCTGAGGAACTCTGGGTAAACTGAGACATATGGCAGCAAAGGGCCATCAGCTTGGACATCCCAAATTTTAGTCAGGGGCAACAGGAGATGTGGAACATTCCTCCCCTGACAAGTACGTCAAAGATGAATCCTCTAAAAGCCAGAGGAGGTTGATGTCACCAACAGGAGTGAAATTTGGCATGCAAAAATAGGACCCAGCACTGTAGATCACATCTCTTGAGCTGCTTGCACAAAACTGATGGAGGGTAGAGCTGCTGCCTGCCTGCATGTTAAATGGCAACACTCTGAGAGGGCCACTGTAACCTCCACGACTTACTGGTGTCACTTCTACAACAGCCAAAGACAGCTTTGAAATGAAATCAGAAACTCTCCATGGAACTGGAGTGAAGTCTTCTGAATAATCATTTAACTTTTTCTTAATGAGGAAAGCTGCAGCTGCAGATCAATCCAGGTGTGGCCACTCTTCTATTTTCAGTAAAACTATAAATAAATATTCTCTCTCACCCCTCTCCTCCAATGAATAAACTGTCATTATGACAGAAAGCAAACAATATCAAGGAAAACTTCACCACCCCCTGGTTTGGGTATTTCCTCAGAGGAAGGGACTCCCTTGGTTCTAGTTCTTCTGTCAAGAGTTTTTTGGAATACACTATCCAACATAAAAATGAATATAAAAAAAAAATCCTTGAAAAATAGGTACCTTCTGCTGCTGAGAACAACTATCTATGTCTTTAACAGATATTTAAGCGATAGTGCACTTGTAAAAACTGTTGGGAAAAAAAAAAAACTGTAATATCCTAAGATCTCTTCTTATGGCTCAATATGTTTTCTTTTGAAACTCCCTCTCCTCTGCAGAACTAATTCATCTCAGGAAAATAAAGCCAATGAAACTTAAATCAGTTGTATCCTGCTGTGGCAGAGATAAAGTACATACTCCAAAATGATGGTGAAGGGTGGGATAGATGATTGATAGATGATGATTATGTTACCTTCAATGTGATCTGCTGCTGCTCAGGCAGAAATTTTCTCTCAGACGCTTTGTCTGCAGATGGAAAGCTACAAAATGTTGAGATGTATTAGATTTCCAAGAAGCCCACTTTCAAAATATGCAGGATGAGAACACCAGTGCCAATGTGGAAATCTCCCATAAACCTGAACAGGATCTAGTATTAAAACGTCTTGGACAGTTTAAATGTTTCTGCCAGACTTCCATTCACATAATAAAACGAGGTTATAGTGCATTTTGAAGGATGACAACAGTCATACATCGCTCATCCAAATCCAGTATTTGTTTGCATGTTTACAGGGGATAGCGAAATTATCCAAAATAATTGTTCAAAATTGATTAAAATTAAAATATGCCCCCCACAGCCAGGAGACCACTAGTTGCAACACGGAGCCAAAGCCATCACAATTCCAGTCATGAAATTCCTACTTTGTTCTAGGACAAACCCAGAGTTAGACACGCAGGCACCGAGGACACACAAGAGAAAAGCCTTCTCTTTATGAGGTAGCATCAGTAAAAAACAAAACTAAATCAATCATTTGCTACAAAGGAGTTCCATGCAAGAGAAGGACATTAATTTTGTATAAAATATTTCATATAGGATACATCTGAAGGCCTTTATATTAAAATGATAAAAAGACAATGAAGAGCTGCATTTGGAAAGTTAAAAAAAAAAAAGATCTTTGCATGATGTGTTAATTGACAAATGGGAAAGTATGAGGCAACTGTGGGAACTACTTGCATGCTTATAGTGGTGAATTCTTTAGAAGACAGACAGCACAACTACACGCTAGAGAGAGCAAAGAAAAGAGAGAGGGAACGACTATTCCCAGCAGAGGTGAGATCCCCCAGTTTGGATTTAGTGGCAGTTTGTACCCAACGTGCACAGGGGAAACCAGTTGCTCCAGAGAGAAGGCAACAAAGGGGGCCAGTGAAAAAAAGAAAAAAATCACATTCTGTTCTAGCTTTTACTAAGATGTATCTAGAATAATTATTCTGGTTTTATACAAATGTAAATGAGAGCAAAATGTGTTGGTTTTATGAAGATATCATTACAGTAACATCTAAATTCCACAGTTTCAAAATAAAGTTTTAATCTCTGTACCTGATTGCATCGGTCTGTGTTTGAGCTTCCACGTGCTGCTTGGAGTGACCCTTCCTTTTCCTTCGGGCAGGAGTGTAGTACCTGTACTCTGACAGGGAAGACTTCGCAGCTGATATCAAGGTGCGTGGAGTGAAAGGTTTTCGGCTCCCGGTAAAGAATTCCGAGTGCCTCTCTAGAAGATCCCCACTGTACACTTTGGAGCTGCTTCCTTGATGCCTCTGGGAATGACTAGTGCTCACAAAACTGTCAGTGGAGCAACTGCACGACAGCCCAGAGCGTTTCCTTGGGGTACTTGATGGATTCCGGGAGGTTTTTCTGGTGTATTTCACCGGAGTGGAGCGCAGCGAGCCCTGCTCGCCGTACGGAGACAGTGATCCCGACAGGCACTGGGTGTGCCCAGCACAGGGGAAGAGACCAGCTTTGTCTTCTGCTTCCAAGAAACCCTACAAAAAATGAAAAGAAGATTTGAGTGCTTTGCAAGTTACCAGCTTTGCTCCAGTCGCCACCCCCAGCTATTGCTGTCCCCACCCCGGAGGTATTTGCTATGTAAAAACTTTCCATTTTTGTAAAATCAAACTAGTTTCAGAGCAGCCCCAGATGTTTAACAGATTTTAAAACCTACTCATTGCAAATAAGAGGGTAATAAGAAAATGGTTTGCTTCAGTATCAAAACATTGATGCTGTGTTACAGACTATTGATGGCTTCATCAAACCAAGAGTTTCAATCATTTTAATCCAAAGGCTCAGACAAATAAGACAGAAACACAACTAAATAAGTGACATATTGCTAGCAAGGTGTCAGTATATAGTATAGTATATTAACCTATGTAATTCATAGTGTAGATTGGAAATATACACCAATTTTGTGTTCTATCATTCAATTCCTAAAATTGTTCTTAAAAAGTTCTTAAGTTCTAAGCAATATGACTTCCACTGTGTAAACGTTCCATTTTCTCTTAACACTGCTACTGTTATTGCTTTGAATCTACACTATTCCTTTTTCTCCCTTTCAGAACCGCTTGATATTTTAAATTAAAACTCAATACAATGAATATACATTGTGGCACGCAGTAGAATGCTATTTAGATGATTAAAAAATGCAGATAGATAGGTTACTATCAAAATGAAGTCACTGAACACGCTGTGAAGAAAATACATGGTATGACAGCAGTAATTCCACATCATTTTCTCCCAAATCAGTAAGACCTGTCTATGCTATTCCAGTAACTCAAAATGCTCATAGTTGCTGATGCCTAATGCAAAGAGGTCTTTTTTTTTTTTCAGATAGCTGAGCCAAAATAAGCCCTTCTTGATGGTGTCTCGTGTGAGCCAACTTTATTTTACTACTACAGCACAATTAACTGCTGAACTGATAACATGCAGGAACAATACCAAACAAATGCCTGTGTTAGGGAGCAGTACAATAAGGCTTACCCGGTGATTGTCTGCATATAAAGTAGTGGCAGTGGTAGCTCAGCGCTACAGAAAACAGATAAGGCTGGAAGGTTTCAGAATCTACCTATATAGACATTTTGAAAAGCTAAGTCCATCCCCTTCAGTATGTATTATTAACAGCTTAATTTTTTCTTGTGTGCTTTTTACTCAGTGATTGAAACGGTTCGTGGAGCTGCAAGATAAAGCGGACTGTAGAAGTATTTGTGAACACAGGATGACTGGTGCCTCGTAATACACAATAATAATAATAATAATAATAATAATAAAAAAAAAAGGGATTAAGTGATATTAGCCAACTACACCTCATGAAAACCACACGTTCTATCCTGTGGATGCAGCTGAGTTGATTCTAAAACAAGAAAAAGGGACAGGGTAAGCTTGGCGATACCCTAAATTTAAGCATTCCTTATTTTATGAGGAAGCTTGGGGAAGTTCTTTTCTTCTTGTCCTTATGCGTATCATACTGAGAACAGACCAAGTAGCTGAGGTAGTGACTAGATGGAACTGCAAATTTTCAGAAAATTACTTATTCACCTGTGTTGGTACAGGCATTTTAACTGTAAACAAGTATGTTCATTTTCTTCTCTAACCCGTCTCTATAAAAACATCAGATGTTTATCTGGGGGGGGGGGAAAAAGAAGACAAAAACATACCTACAAATATGGTGATTGAAAAAGATTTTCAGCTCTATTCTTCAGAAACAATTGGGGAAAAAAGTATTCCATGGAAGTATCATAGCTTTGGACATCAGCACTATGAAGAACTAGAACTAATGTAATTTGGAATCACAACTCTTGACACCCATCTTGCTTACCAATGTATGTTCCTATTCTATTGATTCGACCATCATTTGTTTTGAAAGATAAATTTACTCAATGATACATATCAGTGATAATTACCCCCCTTAAAAGTTTTCATAAATGACATATTTATGCTTCAATTTTGTTAAGTCACAAAACTGTGGGAAATGGAATATTACTTGCAGCAAACTTGTACAGAGAGGACCCCTGAATCTTCACGGAGTCTGTGGAAGAGAAAGTTCCACAAAAACAGCTAAAAGCTTATGGCTGTCATCTGATGGGCAAGAGAAGCAGCACTGAGAAATAATCCAGACTTCTACGTTACTTTTTCTTTCTAAAAGACGTTTAGCTTCTCAACTCAAAAGCCACTGAGGTATCAGCTGCCTTATAAAAAAAACAAGCTTTAAAAGCAAGCTTGCTAAATCTATTTTTACATAAAAGGTCCAAAGGCACCTCGCACTGAGGTCACTGAAGTTACAGCAAGATGAATTCAAGTCTTGAAATTAACTTGCTCTTGTATGAAAAGATCTTTTGATAGAATAGTTCATCTATCCTTGTAAAATGAGATGGCAGAGAGGCTTTATGAACCGCACTGTCAAGATACAGAAGCTGCCATTGTGTAATAAATGAGCATCTGCTTCTTTTTAATTGGAGACAGCTCAATTGGTGCTGCTGTAGCGGTGCCGTACGTGGGGTGAGACCTCCCTCCGCTGCCCGGACAGAGCAAAGGGCTCCTGTGGCCAGGGACAAGCTGCCCTTACAGCCACTGCTCTCACACCCCCCTTGCACGGCATCCCTTCTTCTCATTACACACTGATAATGAGTTAAGAATTGAGAAAGGTGAGAGAGAAAATTCACACAAATCTGTAAACAAAAAAGACCTGTGTGTATATGATCAGCCTGCAGACTGGCACCAAGAATAACCATTTTTCTCATTTAAAACTCTGCTCCCGTTACATCCTTCCCATTTGTAATATGGTCTGCTCCTCCTTTCATCAAATACCGTGATGTTATTAATAAGGTCATTACTGAACGTGCAGAGGGAAATGTATTAATTCAAACAACCAGCGAGAGAGGTGACTGTCACGATGGAGCCTGAATGGAAATCTGTACTGAACACTCCTGATGAAAACATCTTTCTTTGATGCTCAGAAGGTTCTTCTGCTTTCTTTAGTCACTTACATCTCTCATTCTGACAGAACTAATTCAAGCACAATACATCTCCAGACTGTTAATACCACAACAGTATAACAAATCTTTAAATGTAAAGGATTTGAGTAGCCAATTCACACAGCCAGAGATGTGTGCCGCATGCAGAATGAACAGCAGAGATCTCAAACTGGTAGTGCTGCTTCCTAATCTCCACTTCCCATGCACAAGCAGATGGCCAGAACTGGCATCCTTAAGAAATCAATAAAGTCTGAAGAAACAGGCTGAAAGAGATGATGAAATATCAAGGCAATGGTAACCATCCTTCAAATGGTTAAGAGAGAAAATCTACCCTCCTACGGAGCAGCCTTCCTCCAACTGACTCTTTGGCATGGATTAATTTCTTTAAAGAATTTCCTTAGCAGCCAGAAATGCCTATTAATAGGATTATCTGAACATGGGATATGAAATACCAAGTCTTGCTCAAATCAGAGACTTTACTCATGCCCAGCTCAATTCAGGTTTTCTTGCTTCAGAGAAAAGTCACGTTGAGCTTCATGCAGGTTGATTCCCTGAATCACTCAGATGAACTTTTAAAAACCCAAATCAGGTTTGTACAGAAAAACAAAAATTAAAAATCTAGAGATTTCACTAGGATATAGCATTCCATCCCTGGCAGCAGTTGGAAAGACTACAAGGTAATGCCATTCTGTGCTTTGATGTCACGCTATTTTCCAGCCTGTGTCACACAGCCTTTTCCACTGTGAGAATACTTCAGAGTCATTCATTAAAGGAGTACATGTAAGTAATTTGCTGACAGATAAATACTCGCTTAAATATTACATATTCACAAAGACACACAAAGTTAGCAGCCCTTTCAGCATCCATATCTGTGGTTTATCATCCTATTTTGATTAACACATGGTGTCAACCATCATTGCTCCTCTACAGAGAAAGAGAGGAGCAGCAGAGAAGCACAGCTGTCCCCAGGACACCTTATGCTTTCCCTGTCCCTCTACGTGACTGCAAGAGACAAACCACTGTCCCTGAAGGAATTTAGTCGCTATCGAACCCATCCAAAGGCTGCTCCGTTGGGGCACTTGAAATATGAGCCTGCTCCTCAGGTGCTCACTTAGCTCTTCTGCTCAAAGTAGAGAAATGCACCATAAACATCTATCACATCTTAACCCCCGCCTCTAGACGGAATACTTTTCTCTCTGAGACCAAAATAATCTCTTTGATTAAAATTAGTGATTATTTCAAAAGGTTGGTAATGAAATCTAGGTAACCACAACAAATAACTTTCTCAGTTCATGACATAGGGCAGCAGATTCTCACATCACCGTAACTTTACATTAATAAACACATCTAACAGATAAAGAATTCACTGTTCTTGTGCCTTCTAAAATCCTGCCAAAGAGCAGGCCCCTAGGATTCAAGACACGTTACAGCTGTTCAGGTTCATAGTTGGCTCAGGGTATAATAAAATACACTGACTAAATCACAGAGCTTATAAGAAATGTAGAACATGTATTATATCATTTAGATGAATTATTTTTACTTCTCTTTGGTTTTACTGTGCACAGAGTCTCAACTGAAAACAGTTTCTGCGCTGTATTGCAGCATTAAATAATAATAAATGCAGCTACATGAAAAATGAAAATGATGGTATGAAGGCAGCAGAGTTCCCAGAATGCATAAAGAGTGAATACTAATGAATGAAGCCTTTTGAAAACAGCCAGTCAGCTGCACACATCAAAGCTGGTTGGCATGTATTGAGCCTATCATCTAGTCAGGCATTGACCCTGTCAGAGTTACAAGGGTTATGGTATTTTTATATACATATATATGTATGCATGTTGCTCTTAAATTGATACGTTGAGCAACAGTTTAATAAGCAAGAAATTAGGCATTATGAAAGTAATTTCTTTAACTTTTGTATTCTTACATTTAGATGTAACAGTGGCAAAGCCAGGAGAATTCTACTTATGTCTTTTTCTTCCATTCCTCCTGTAATGTTGTACGATGCTTGTTAAGCACAGGACCAACATCTTACTCCTGCCATTACCTCCTTGGACACCTGGAGGTTGACTGCTTCAAGTTTGTCCTGAATCCCATCCCAACCCAGGCACATCCCAATTCAACAAAATATTTTTTGGAGCAGTTTCCACAAAAAGAGGATGTATAATCAGCTTTCTCCTAATGGCAACAGTGACAGCAATAATATGATTCTTGTGTGGCAAAAATCCTCTGCGTTACCATATGCTTTAACAGGCCTCCTTAGAATTTGTTTTCCAACTGTTACCTATCAATATAGCCTGATGGCCAGAGAAATACAGTCAGAATGGCTACCTCATGCTCACAATGCATTAGAGGACATCTCATCACTGAAGCAGAAGAATCCTCCCTTGGTGTATAAACAAGGACAGGAAATCACAGAATGGGTTGGAAGGGACATTAAAGATCATGGAGTTCCAACCCCCTGCCCTGGGCAGGGACACCTCCCACCAGACCAGGTTGCTCCAAGCCCCATCCAGCCTGGCCTTGAACCCCTCCAGGGATGGGGCAGCCACAGCTTCCCTGGGCAACCTGTTCCAGTGCCTCACCACCATCTCAGCAAATAATTTCTTTCTAGTATCTAATCTAAATCTCCCCTCTTTGAATTTAAAACCATCACCCCTCGTCCTATCAATGTCTATTTGGGCAAATGAAGTAAAGTCGAAATAGGGCTGCATTTTTAGCACAAAAATATGACAGACCAATGACTTCCACGGCCTACGCTGCTACCAGAAGGCTCACATACAGATTTACACTTCTACTGACTCCCTGGTGCACTTGTTTATACTACATATTATACTACAAACATATTTCAGAAGTCCAGCAAACAATGATTTGATTAACAAAATGCCAAACAGTATTTTAGTGAAGATTACTCTTTGCATTTGTAAAGTAAAAAAAAAAACCCACCAACCCTAGAGGCAAAAAAAGTATTATATCCAAAAATTACTTTTTACGTGTGGTTAAACATTATTTTGGCAAGTCTCCCAACATCACTTTCTAAAATACACTTTTCAGTGAATAACTTGAAATTCAGACTCGGTTTGTTGCGTTGCACCCTGCGGAGAGCAAGCATAAGGAAAGCTGCAGTTTGTGCTGGTGTGATGAACACTACAGTGTCAGGAAACATGGTGGTGGGAAGGCACCTGTAAGTAATTAGAACTGGGATAGATATTATTTTAGAATGACCTTGTCATTCTTTGCAAAAGATTAAAACAAAGGAAAAAAGCGACAGTCTGTTACAATGCTATATTAACCACCATGAGTGCATCCTTTTGTTTTAAACCAGAATTTATGCAGTAATTAGAGATACATTTTAAGCACACTTTACTTGGTTTTGCAATGAGATAATGTAAGGAACTTCTCCTTCTCCCACTTTGCAGAAAACAACATGGAAGGACAAAAATGTTATTAATAAAAAATAAAATTTGGATTTTAAATATTATATTTCCTCCCTTTTCTCATGCATGCCTGCACTTTCATCCTCAGCTAAGGGCCACGTACTGAATTTCAAAGTGTTACTCCTCTGCACTGCACTAAGGTCCCACCCCAGACCGCCTGCTGCAAAACCAGTCACACAGAAAGAAACTCACGGTGAGTTTTCTGCACTACCTGGAAATATTCTCCAGCTCTCTGTATATTTAAACAACATATGAAGGATTTGCTGTTAAAATCAGAGTTAAAACATCACTTTGTTGTAAGCTGCAATTGCTCCTTTACTGTGACAACAAGAGAATGCAATTTATTAGGCTATTTATTTATTATTTGGAAATACACACCACATGTCTGGATGAGATGCCAGCCAAAATAAGTGAACCTATGTCTATAGGCAGAAAAGCACTTATTTAGACAGTTTAAGTAGTATTTTCACATTCAATAACTGCAATTTGAGCATGCAGTATATTGTTAGATATAAAATGTATTTCCAAAGCATGGGAATACATGATAAAGAAAAAAAATATGAAGATACTCGATTCTTCTGCTAGGAAGGTTAATGGTAACTCGAGTTCTGCCTTAGGAACTGGTAGAAAGCTCTGGAATGAGAGACAGGACATGGGAATTTCAGCTGGGAAGAATTCCTGGTAACTGGAGCTTGGATTTACCACAAACCCTCTTCACCCAGCTCCCTGCCATCTTTGTCAGAAGGCCGAGACGCGCATTTGGTGTTGGGCACACGCCAGGAAGACCCTTGTCTATTTTCTGCTGCTTGAAATATGCCAGTCCTCCCTCCAGAGCTGCTGCACGGCACCCATCAGCTGTTCTTAGGGGAGGCAAGCAGACTATGGTATCTACTAAACAAAATTAAAACATCTACCTTTCCAAAAGAGGACGGCAGCAGCCTTCCGCTCTCTCTGGAGCTGGCTCGGGAGGCAGTTTTGCCCACACTCATCTCCTCTTCACACCTGGCTATCTTCTTTTTCAGTCTCTCTCTTCTTCGCTGGTCAGCAACTTAGAAAAGAGACAAAGTTTGTCAGATGCAAACTGAAATCTTATTCTTTTCTTGTCTTAAATGATTTGAAAACATCACAGGAGTTTCCAATCGCTCAGCTAAGTCAGAGAGCGATTATAAAAATTACCTCTATTCTTAATAAAAAATACTAGACTATGCTGGCAGCTAAAACTGTGCCTCAGCTGAAGCTGTACCTTACCTTCCCCAAGCTATTCTCAGCTCTCACACCTAATGCAACACCAGAGGAGAACTCCCAGAGCAGTACTGCCAACAGAGCACTCTGCCCAGAAACACACAGGGGTGTTCTTGGGCTGTCACAGACAGAGCTCCCGTGACTCTTCTCTCAGCCACTATTTCAGCAAAACCCAACCTGTTTACTGACAGTGAATCTGACACGTAAAAAATCCATGCTTGAACCAAGGGAAAATAGAGAGTAATCTACACTCTGCTCACAGGGGTGTTCTTGGGCTGTCATGGATGGAGCTCCTGTGACTTTTCTCAGCCACTATTTCATCAAAACCCAACACATTTACTGACAGTGAACCTGACACGTAAAAAATCCACGCTTGAACCAAGGGAAAATAGAGAGTAATCTCCCAAGTGCACAAATCCATGGCAAAGCAGCATCTTCATGCCAAGAACATGAACAATGAAGGCAAACACCGTGAAAGGGCCATTGCACTGGTCTGCAGCCCAAGACCACAGTGTTCCTGTAGCACAGAGGATGAGTGAAGTACCTCTGACAGATGAAGAGCCCAAAAGGCATTCAAGTCTGCCATCAGTCAGTACATCTGCTGCCCTGCAGAACACAGCCTAAAGGTTTTGTATATTGTGAGCACCCATCTCTGACAGATGAAGAGAAGAGCCCAAAAGGTAGGTACATTTTCTGCATCAGTCACTACATCTGCTGCCCTGCAGAACACAGCCTAAAGGTTTTGTATATTGTGAGCACCCAGGTGCCACAGATGAAGTTCACCAAGTTGAAAAATCCCAATGAAGCCGACGAAAACCATTAATAATTTCATTTCCAGACAGAAATGAAGCAAGTTTATGTACGCAATCATACTCCTGACATCTATTTACACCATGAAACCTGTTTTAACTCTCGAGAACATTTCTCATTCACTTCACAGGAACCTAAGCATACGAATGGTTTGATACAGACACACAGACAGAAAGGCCTCCACAGATTTCTTCTTCAATTTGGTAATTAATGTATTTATATCGCACTCTGGCAGACCCCACTCTTCACACACACTGCTACACTGAACGCATGGAAATGTATGTGGATTGGTACGGTACATTCTTCTAGACAGCTGAGAACTACAGCAATCTGAGGGCGCACTGAATGCGTGGAAATGTAAAGAGCTGTGTGGATTGGGACGGGACATTCTTCCAGACAGCTGAGAACTACAGCAATCTGAGGGCATTTAATCAACCCTTAAAACACATTCATCTGTGTACATTAAGCCTACAGACATGTTAATCTCTAGGAATTATTTAAGTGGATTCATTTTATGAAACATTTCAGTCCCCTCTTAAATTAGAAATGATTCTTTCACATGCAAAATCCTCACTCTCATTCCTCAGGGAAATCCCTCTTTTGTTCAATTGTTACAATTGGTATGTAAAATACAAAGTAATTTCTTTTCTGGCTGCTGATTTATTCCGCATAGTCCATTAGAGTACTTGCAATATTAAGTTGTTTTTATTCCTGGAAAAACATTAACTGAAGTTAAGGTATGCTAAATTCTACAACTCTGAATAAAAATATGCCTTGTAACAGAAGGAAAAATATACCCTACCATTAAATTACTCAAACTCAATATTTTTCTTCCTACACTTAATTATTATTATGTGGCTATTCCAAATTACTACTACTACTAATTGTGTTTGTCTTAAAAGTTACAGACAAGCACTCAAAAATTAGCTACAGCTGAGAAGTTTTACTTGCTTGAGATAAATAATTACTGGTGCTGGGCCACCAGAGCGTCTGTGTGTGTGTGCACATACACAGAAGGTGTAAAAACCCCAGCCTCACCTGCTGCTCAGGTAACACGGTGATGGCTGAAATGAGTGTTGAGTAAACATCTAGGGAAACAATGAATGAATTTTGCTCTAAAAAGCAAAAGTAAAAATCATCCAGAGGTACATGTGTCTCATTTTGGAAGCGTGAGTAGACATCTGAAGCAGAAATTTCCTTACACTCAAGGCCTCAGGTGGAAAGTGGGTTTGTGTAAGACAAGACAGGCTTAACCTCTTCACTGCACGTTCCACCTGCCTGCCGTGGCTTCACAGGAGTTCCTGGGCAAAGTGCAAAGCAGCATGATTATTATTACTAAATTGAGTTCTTGTGTTGTCCTTTTCCCACTCTTTACAGGCTAAACTCTAAGATTTAAAATATATGGACAGAGTCTGCCTTTACTACTGGCGCTCAAAGCTATAAAAGTCTACTACAAACTTCCTCCAGGACTGCGTGCTACCACTCTTCTCAGTGGAGGAGCAGCTTGTGCCCAGGAGTAAAGAAGGAAGGAGCAGTAAGTGTGCTAAGTGTGATAAGCTAAGCCTATCTTTGGATGCCATGATGACCCATTGGGACTACTGTCACCTGCACACACGCTGCCTTCCTCCCCTGACTTCCCAGCTCCTCTCCCTCAGCGGGGACTGGAGAATCCAGGCTTTCCATTTGACTTTCCCCAGACAGAAAATGGTATCACACAAACGGCCTGAATCCTCGAGGCACTAATTGCAATATGACAACTGCTGGGAGCTGAAGGTGCTCAAGGCTGCCATACACAGCCACTTGTCCTGCAGCTGTGCATCTATTAAACCCATTGCGGTATCTTCTGCTTCAAATAAATCACAGATACAGCTTCTTTAGTTTTCAGTGAGATTAATAAACTGAATTTGACACGAGTGCCCTTGTCACAGACCAGTGGGAAGCAAACATCAACTGCATTTGTTAACAGGTACTTACTAATTTCACTGCGAGGAGCTTTTACTGTATATTGGCTCCAAAAACATATCACATTTGTACAGGTAAATATGGGAGAAGTTCAAGACAATAAGTATCTTGTGACAAATAAAACAGAAAAGAAAACCACTGGGTTTTCTTCTCTTTAAAACTGGAAAACTAAATGTTTAGGAATAAAAAAATTACAGTCTACAGATCCAAATAACATGAGTCCCCTTTAAAGCTTATTAGAGACTTCGAGATTAATTTTATCTTATGAAATGCTGTGCACAAAACCACCACAAGGATTTATATTATAGTACAGAGAAAAATCTATTAGAATATAAACAAAGTAGTGATTTTTGTCTATCAGATAAATTCAGAGTCTGTGAAACTAAACTCCATAACTTATTGCACCCAGCCCATGAATCTGTTCTCTAAATTCTGTCGCTAACGAGAAGAAGCACAGGGAAGACCATGAATGTTAGAAGTTAAACTGCAGCATTCTCCATAAAGAGCTACCTATAAAATGCTCATAAATGTGTCACAGCAGCAACACTTTTGCCTGGGCAAATACCCCTTTGCAAAGAGTACCCCCGACTTGGGCAGCAGAGACCACGTCCCTCTATCTCCCTGTTAGAACACTCCCTCTGTAGGCTTGAGTCTTTTTTCCCTTACGCTGAGGCTACAGCAGTATTTCTAGACAAATGCTTAAAGTTGTAAAATAAATGTCATAAACCTGAAGAAACAAAATCAACTTACACAGCACGCTCCTAAGCAGCGTGAAAGCTCTGGGCTCATGAGGACAGTAGGATTTGGAATGCCAGTGGTTGTCCTTTGCTCTGAATTTCCAATCTCTAAATTTATCGTACCGTCACATCGCAGCACAATCGGCAGTTAACCTTCAACTTATTGCATTTTTGATGTAAATAATCCACGGCAGAAAATGAAATATTAAGTTAGATTTAAATTGAGTTCAACTTGCAGAACAATGTATCTCAATAGAATTGTCAAACTGAGCATTTCTCCTTCGTGTTTTTCCAGCAGCTATTTTTGCAGTAACACACTTCTGGTTATTATTTCCCTTATGAATTCTCTTCGATAAACAACGCAAACATCAGCCTTATTTCTGCTGAGCCTGAAGCGCCTGCAGTGACCATAATTAAAGCGTTCAGCATATCAGTTGGTGATATTACTTCTGCAAGCAAGCTTTTCCTTCTGTAATATTTTTTACTATCGGCTTCCCAGCTCCACACAAATCCCCAACACATCATGATTTAAGCACCTGGGGTGAGATCTCAGCAATTGCAAACTGAATTTTGCCGTTGGGTGTGAAGCTTGAGTTTCTCCTAAGTCTAAATCTAAATTTCTTAACGCAAAAATTTTAAGTCTCATAACTCTAAGAGATGATTCTGCAGTCCTTCCCATCCATTATTGTTAGTACTGGTTTATCAAATAAGGGAGGAATCACCATAAAAAAAGGTGACAAAATATTTATTAAGGGCTCGATACTGCAGCCTTGCTTGTATCAAATAGAAAGTAATGTTTGTATCAGGGTGTGTACTTCAGAAAGGGGACACTGCTTGGCAAAGCTACTAATGGCAAAATCTGGCCATTGCTAAAGCTCGGAAATAAAGCCCAACAGTGAGATGTGAATCCTTCAGAAGAATTTCAGGAGAGGTTAGAAGCACAGGATTATCCCAAATCCATCCACCTCTGATCCTCCTACGGGCTCCTCACCCCACAGACATCCCATAGTTCCTGCTGTCAGTTGCCTGGAGAACAGACAGCCCGTACACAGCCCACGGCACGGGAACGGGGACACCACATCCACGCTGAAGAAGACTTCTGAGCCTGCTCAGGTAAACCTCCACGCCTGTACCCAGAGAGGGCTGCATCTGGCTTCCAGGTGGGCTTGCACAGTGGATTTTGTCCCCTTGGGGCAGCCCCCCAGGACAATTTAGACATATGGTACTGAGCTAATACTGAGAATAAGCAGAAAGCACAATTTCATTGCTGTTCTCTGGGATGCTGCAGCTGCTCTGG